TACATATTTCTTGATGGTCACAACTCAAACTTGTTGAGAAAATTGTACTGATAAATCAATCATCCACCATAGATCAGGTCCCCACAGACTGTTCTAGGTGCTGTGGGAGGTTGTGAAGGAAGGAAAACCACCTTGCCTGGCCATAAAGCATTGACAGGCTACTTGAGGAAATAAAAGTGACACAGCTATATATACATAAAACAATGAGTAGAAGATTTTTAAAAAGATGAGTAAGAGAAACCTAATTATATATAGTAAAAGAAAATCTATATATATAAATATATAGAAACACTGATTGTCTTTTACCTTATTTTTCTGATTTTTCCAAATTTTCCATAGTGAATTTATATTATTTTTTACAATAAAAGTAAATATGGTTTAAAACATATGTACAAACACACAAAGTGTGGAATATTGCATGCTGCTAAGAAGAACAAACATGAAACCTCCTTGTAGCATGTCTAGAAAATTTTCAAGCTTAGACTTTTCCTATGGTGAAGTTAGATGATTTTACAGAGGGATGTGGGAGTGCATTTCAGTGTAAGAATGCATGGTATGGGGAAAAGAGAAGAAGAAGCAGTAAACAGTGGGCAAGGATGACCAGTAGCCTTTCCAGACTGTAGCTGAAAACCCCAAAATTCAACTCATATTTGCAGCAATAGTTGTCAGTGTGGGTCCACTAACATTGTGTGCATGTCTCTCTCACAGCATCTGTCACACTGTTGTGTAATTTGTCTGCCTCACCCATGGGACCACTAAACCACAGAACAGCTGGGATTTTTATCTTGATATCTTTGTATTTCCTGCCATGGTACACAGTGGATGCTCAAAGGTGCTCAATGAATGTTTATTTAGTGTTCTTGAATGATGTTGGAAGAAATGTCAGCAGTTGTATAGAAGGCTGTCAAATGAAGACAGCCTCAACACTAATGATTAGGAGTTTTAATTGTATAAGAATGGCAGGACCCCTTTATAAAGAAGAAACTGAATATATAATCAGAGAGGTCACAGGAGAAGTTCCTGCAGCAAGATTGCTGGGAGATGAGAAAGCTCCCTGAGCCATGGCATAGGTGAGGGAGGGAATAGGTGAGAGCAAGTGATGCTGGATAATTTGGTGATTAAAATCTTCCAAAAGATTTTAAAATCTTTCTTTTCTAAAAGCCAATTTGAAAAGCAGGTGAAAAGTAAGCTAAGCAACATTATCTTCTTTGGTTATTCCTCATTTCAGACTGCATAAACCAGGAACCCAAAGATAGCAGCCCTGGAGAAGAATGTGATGGTGAGTAAAGAAAGCACTCCCCCTTTCCAAGTCGTGAGGTTTAGCTTAAGATATGTGAGCTCCATGCTGGGACATGCAGTTTCCTGCCTGGGAAAGCAAAGGTGGGAGGAGCGAGGAGAACTATTTAGGGTCAAATCCAGTCTGTCAGCTAAGAGCTGTATGACCTTGGGCAAGTGAACCTTACTTCTCCAAGCCTCAGTCTCGTCATTTCTAAAATGCACGCATTAACTATACCAACCTCATAGGGTTGTTAGAAAAATTCTTGTAAATCCTGTATCACAATGTCTAGTAAATAACAAGTACTCGATAAATAAAAGCTATTTATTATTATTTTTCCCACATATAAAATAAGCAACAATTTATATTGATGAGTCTATATTGAGATATAGACTCAGTTTTATTGAGATATAATTGACATATAATATTGTATTAGTTTAAGGTGTACAGCATAATGATTTGGTATGTGTGTATATATATCTATATATACTGCAAAATGAGTATCACAATAATTTTAGTTAACATTCATCACCACACATATTTACATATTGTTTTCTTGATGAGATCTTTGAAGATCTACTCTCTTAGCAACTTTCAGATATAAATACAATATTTTTAACTATAGTCACCACACTGTACGTTCTATCCCCAGGACGTGTTTATCTTATAACTGGAAGTTTATACCTTTGACCACCTTCACCGTTTCCCCCACCCCACCATTTCTTTTTAAAATGTTCCCTGTCCAGAGACCTCCCTTTTTCAGAATCTGTGTTCCTCCCGGAGAAGCCCAGGGTTGTGCTGTTTGCCTGTTGTCATCCGCATGCATAGTAACTGGGCTGTACAGCACTTGTGCTCTGTTTGCATTCCTGCGGCTCCAGCCTGAAGCACACTTGCCTTTGTTGCGGCCCCTACAGATTGTGACAGCTGTGTGATGACGCTCTTAAATGACCTGGCCACCATGAGCAACGAGCTCCGCCTCGTCAAGTCGCAGCTGCAGGGCCTGAGCGCCAACGCAGGCACTCTGGAGCAGATGGGGCACTTGGAGACCCAGACCAAGGACCTGAGGGTAAAATAGTCTATGGGTCCAGGGCTATGCTGGCGCAGATTAGATATGTAGCGAATAGATACTGCATGAATGAACAAAAGTTCCTCAAACAGGAAAGGAGGGGTTGACCCCATTTAATGCTCAGAAGGGCATTCCTCCTTCCTCTGATCTAAATAAAGATTAGATTTTTTTTTAATTGAAGTATAATTGATTTACAGTATTACGTTAGTTTCAGGTATATAACATAGTGATTCATTATTTATATACATTATGAACTGATCACTGCGATGTCTAGTTATCTTCTGTCACCATAGAAATTTATTACAGTATTATTGACTATTTTCTCTATGCTATGTGTTACTTCCCTGTGACTTACTTATTTTACAACCGGCAGTTTGCATCACTTATACTGCTTAATCCCCTTTGCCTTTTTCACCCATCCCTGCACCACCCATCCCTCTGGCAACCAGCTACCAGTTTGTTCTCTGTATCTGAGTCCATTAGTTTTATTTGTTCATTTGTTTTGTTTTTAGATTTTACATATAAGTGAAATCATACAGTATTTGTCTTTCTCTTTCTGGTGTATTTCACTCAGCATAATACCATTTTTATTGGTGGCAAGTACCAGTGAACACATAAAACTAACAATTCTAAGTAAGCATTTCTTATTGAATGTTTCTGGGCTAATTTTTCTCATAGAGACTTTATCTTATTATCATGCATCCAGAAGACTCAAAAACAGATTTGTGTAAAAGTGTTATTAATTCTTCTTTAAATGTAAGCCTAGGGTTTTCTTTGTTGGAATTTTCTTTTTAAATAAACCATAAGTTTAATTTTCAAAAAATAGATACAGGACTATTCAGGTTATAGATTTCTTTTTGAGTGATATTTGGTAATTTGTGCCTTTCAAATCATTTTTGCATTTCATCTAAGTAACCAAATGTATTGACATAAAATTGTTCATAATTTTCCCTTATTATGCATTTAATATCTGCAAAATCTGTATTGATACCCTCTCATTCATTCTAGATGTTGGTAATTTGTGTATCGTCTCTTTTTTTTTTCCTCTTGATTATTCTGGCTAGAGGTTTATCAATTTTATTTATTTTTTATTCATTGATTGTCCTCTGTTTTTCTGTTTTCAATTTCATTGAATTCTGTTCTTATCTATATTTTTTCTTCCTTCTGCTTGCTTTGGGTTTAATTTGCTATTTATTTCATAGTTTCTTAAGATGAAAGCTTATTTTACTCATTCAAACCTTTCTTCTTTTTTTTTAAATTAGGGAATTGGGGGAGGGGAACAGTGTTGGGGAATTGGGGAAGGGGAATAGACAAGTTGTTGTTTTTCAATCTTCATTGTGGAGGGCACCAGTTGCCATCTGGCTGCCTGACAGCAGTTCGTGGCCTCTAAGCTCAAGGTGCTATGTTACAATCTTAGTTGCGCATGGGTGTAGCCCACCATCCCATGTGGGAATCGAACCAGCAGCCTTGTTGTGAAGAGTGCACTCTCTATCCACTGAGCTATCCAGGCTGCAGTTCAGCTCAAGGTGCCGAGATCAGTCTTAGTTGCGGGCGGGTGTAGTTCACCAACCAGGCAGTCTTGTTGTTAGGAGCACGTGCTCTCACCAGCTGAGCCATCCTGCCACCTGTTGGCAGCTCAGCAGCAGCTCAGCTTGGGTGCAGCGTCACTGGCCCATGTGAGAATTGAACCAGTGGCCCCGTTGCTCAGAGCTTGCACTCTTAAGCCAACTCTTAACCAACTGAGCCACTCGGCCGACCCTCTTATTTTTAATATAAGCATTTAATGCTAAAAATTCCCCCAAGCACTAGTGTAGCTGTATCCCACACATTTTAAAATGTTGTGTTTTCATTTTCATTCAATTCAAAAGATTTTCTAATTCCCCTGTGACATGTCTTTGATCCCAGAGTTATTTAGAAGTGTGTTGTTTAATTTCCAAATTGGGGATTTTCCAGATAACTTCTTTTTACTGATTTCTAATTTAATTCTATTGTGATCAGAGAATATACTTTATATGATTCCAGTTCTTTTAAATGTATTGAGGTTTTGTTTCATAATTCAGAATATGGGCCATCTGGGAGAATGCTCTATGTGCACTTGGAATAAAGGTGGCTTAGAGAGTATCCTGAGAAGTAATAGGGTCTAAAGTTCCGCATGGGGCCAGGGTCAGGCTCCCTGGGGAATAATGGGGCCTCTTCTGCCCATGATTGAAGGCTGGAAAAAAAAAACCCTTGAAATTGCCCAATTCTCATTGTTGGGCAATGGCTATGTGACAACTTAGAAAAGTGACAAACTTACAGCTGGGACCTGTACAAGATTCATAAACCAGGAACTGTCCTGGAATGTGACACCCTCAACATCACCATAGTGTGCAAGTCCTAAGCTGCCAATCTAAGACCTGATACTGGACTGAGGTGTTCATTGTGGGAGTGGTGATTCCTGTAAGATCATTGGAGAGGGCACAGAAACTGCAGAGAGAAAGGGAAAGCTCCCACTCAGAATGAGCTTGCAAACACTGTAATAGACAAATAACAAGAAAGACATCCCACAGAAGCCAACAGTCAAGAGAATGAGTTCCCTTTAGAGAAAATGAAAAATTATAGGACAATGTGAAAAATGACTTTGGAGAAGCAACCAATAGAAGGAACAAGAAATTTTTAAAAAATTTAAAATGCCAGAAAGCAAAAAAAAGAGGTAGATATGAAAAGATCCAATTCATTAGATGAGATAAAATACTAAACTAGACATAGGGAAAGAGACTTTGGGGAAAGTTTAATATGTGCTTTTTAAAAATAAGGGCTGATTCTAAACCCGTTAGTGGCTATAGCTCAGTATACATAGCAAAGAATAATGCTAGAAAAAAATGGCTTTTTTCTATCCCATCAGGATCATTTTAGTCCATGGTTAAAAAGCTTAATATAGAAGGGAGGTGGGGAAAGGCCTTTATTATTTCGAGAGAAAAAGAAGCCACTAGTTATTTTGATGTCATCAATGCAACCCTGCACTTTTTCAACAAGCGAAAAGGACCAACACTTTTGGTACCTGTCCTATGTGCCAGGCTCTGTTTTAATTGTCACAAAATTCTATGAGGAAAATAGTGTTATTTCTTTTAATAGGCATGGAAAAGCTAAGTAACTTGCCCAGAATCACAGAGCTAATACATGATGGTTCTAGAATTCAAACCAAGATCAAATTCTAAAGACCATGCTTTACTATACATTTTATCCAGGTGTTCTACTATTATTCGACAGAATGATGTACCTTGGTTTTCCCATCATCAAATTAAAATAAAACTATCTTCTAGCTATATCACACACACACACTGAAAATTCAGTAGCGATAAGTATCAGAGGAGAACTAACATTTTTGAATGCTTGTGTGTACATGACTTCTCTTAAAGATTTTTTTTTTTAAAATTGGGGAATTGGGGGATGGGAACAGCGCTGGGGAATTGTGGGAAGGGGAACAGACAAGTTGCTGTCCTTTTTGTTCTTCAGTCTAGTTGTGGAGGATGTTGCTTCACTGGCTCAAGTTGGCACCATCATTGCGCTCTTCCCGGGCGAGGCAGATCAGTCGCCGGCTCCTGGCCACTCACGCTGGCTGCTGGCTACACACGGTAGCCCATGGCAACCCACTGCAGCAGAGGCTGCAGTCTACACTGTCGTCAGAGACTCACGGTAGCCCAGCTCCAGGTTGAGCTGTTGTTTAGCGTCTTAGCTGTGGAGGGCAGTGTCACTGGCCCTCATATGTGGGATCCGAACTGGGGCCCTCTGGCGTCCCAAGCCAGCTCTTAACCAACACACCACTCAGCCAGCCCTGTACGTGACTTTTTATATTAGCCCACTTATCACCCAAAACAACCCAACACCTTACTATTATAATGCTTAATATACTGATGAAGGAGATAAGGCTCAGTGAGCTTATTTACTAAGTGATGAACTTGGGGTTTGGACCTGAGCTGTAAAACCTGTGTTCTTTTACCCAACACTGGCTCTTACATACAAAGGGAGATAATAGTATTGCTATTGCTTTTTCTTTTAAAAAATTTTAAGGTATTAACAGATTTTTTCCAAAAAAAAATTAAAAACAATCACTATTCTAGATATTATGTGCAGCAATGTCACCTTCTAAAAGTAATGAGGCTATTTAGTACCCAAAAAAGAACAGAACCTGGATTTTGGTCCTGAAGCAGTCACTGATCAGCTGTACTGTCAGGGCATGGACAAATCACCCAGCTTCTTTGGGCTTCTGTTTTCTTATGTGTAATATGAAGGTATTCAATTAAATGAACTTTGAGTTTTCCTCCTGCCCTAAAATTCTTTGACACTAATGGTTCCTTTGATAAAGTAGCCATACACTCTGCTTTTAGTATCATAAGGCTAAACATAGGTTAAAAACAATTGAATTTACTATAGAATCTAGAAATTAATATATTAATATATCAGGTAAGTGGTATCACCTTCATTTTTATAATAGGCCATTAATTCAAGTAAAGTATCGCTTGTCTTTTCATGTTTTTAAATTTTGCTACTTTTATCTTAGAGTCATATCAAAACTTAATCAGAAAGTAGAATCTTGCAGCCTTTTTCAAAAAACCATATTATTTTCCTGGAACCAGTCTTGTTAAGTGAATCTTTTCATATCATCACCAGGTTTCCAAGTTGATGGGACTTACTCCAAATTTTTACTCTAAAGTGAGATTAACTTTGTGTTTTACTTTCAGAATCAGCTACCCAACTACCGTTCTGCCATTTCAAATCAGGGCTCAAAAATAGATGGCCTGGAAAAAGAACTAAGTAATTTGAATCGTGAGTTTGACACTTTGCAAGAAAAGGTAATGTTAGGTCAATAAAATTAATTTTTTTTTGCTTTCAAAATATTAATTTCCTCTCATTAACTTAATTTGTTACTAATTAATTTATGTTTCATATAGGTTCAACTAAATTCCAGAAAAGCACAAACATTATATAACAATGTTGATCGGACAACCCAAAGCGCAAAAGAGCTGGACACAAAGATTAAAAATGTCATCCGGAATGTGCACAGTAAGAAAGTTACTCAGCCCAATTAAATATTTTTTATATTTCATAGCTTTTTTTGGTACCCTGAAAGAATTTTCCTTTAATAGTTCAACCTTATGAAAAAGTTCTTGCAATGATACTAAAACAGTGATATGAACCTTCCCATGAAAATGCCTTTTTTTATAGTCTGCTGGAGTCCAGAATTCCCAGTTTAATAAACAACTCGATGTTTTCTAGTTCTCTTGAGGCAGATCTCTGGGACAGATGGAGAAGGAAACAACCTGCCTTCGGGTGATTTTTCTAGACAGTTGGCTGAAGCAGAGCGCATGATGAGAGAACTGAGGAATCGCAACTTTGGAAAGCACCTGAGAGAAGCAGAAGCTGAAAAAAGAGAGGCTCAGCTCTGTAAGGACATTCCCAAACTCTTGCATCCAATCCATTTTAATTGGTTTGAAATACAATGTGCAAAGTACAATATCGAGTCCAGTTACAGGTATTGTAGAAGGTATTGTCATTTCAGTGTATATGACTGTTAGAGCACCATGTGGTGAAAATGGGTAGCCCCCAAGTTACCAAGAGGTTGTACCTTACCATCATGCATAAGAAAAATAGGCTCTTCTCTTAAGCTTTAGATACTTACACCTCATTTTCCCTTTTAACTGCATTTTCATTCTTCTTTCATTCAGCTCCTCCCAACTTTGTCATTATGTCATTTTTTAATGGTCACCTCACCACCCTTGGAGTTTTGAATCACAAATTGGTATTAGCACTACTATTACAAAAAAAAAAGAGTATAGTAGAAACTAACTGAATATATCTAAAGGTTTTAATTAGGGAAAATGCTTCATTAGCTCAAAACTGTGAGAATTAGTTGAGTGCACACTTTTTCAAATAGTGTTCTCTAGTAAAATAATATACAGAGAGTAGTAGTTTTCTTTTAGCATTGTACTATTTAAATTTAATATTAACCTTGGCTTTTAACTGCAAAGAGACCGTATTAGTTATCGAACGAGTATGTGCTTTATACTCTGCAGATCTGGTTCAAGTCCCAAGGATGACTGGTCCTGCAATCTTGGGTCATCACTTAACTTCTCAGGGACTCCATTTCCTTATCTGAAACACAAGAATGATTATTGGCATGTGGTTATCATGAAAGATGAATGAGGCAATGAGCACAGTGCACAGAGCAGGTGATGCGTAAATGTTAGTTTCCTTTCCCATGTCCTCTCAAGTGCAAGGAAAACCATGACATGTGTAGAAACCCAATTCTCCTTCTGTAGTCTTTACAACTTAACAGCAACATACTCTTCCCTCACGTGGAAAACATAAAGTGATATATTTCAGTGCTGAATCGGATAAGGAGCTGGCTGGAGAACCACCAGGTGGAGAACAATGGACTTGTTAAGAGCATACGGGATTCTTTAAATGAATATGAAGCCAAAGTCACTGACCTCCGTGCTGTGCTACAGGAGGCAACTGCCCAAGCAAAGAAGGCCACTGGCCTCAACCAAGAAAACGAGAGGAATTTGGAATCCATCAAGGTGAGTTCCCAGTCAGACTCTGCATGCTTTCATTAGTGACCAGGATGAGGGAGAGGGATCTTTATCATTGACAAAGTGGCAGAGCCAGGCACCCCTCTCCACAGTCTGTATGGCAAATGCTAATCAAACAGGAATGAGGCATTAAATGCTCAACCAAAGTCATTCCTACCCCTCAGTTGCTAGAAAAGATTCTGACCTTAAACCACAGAGAAAGCAGAGTAAATTGTTTCACCCCCGCTCCTGGTTGATAGAGTACTGAAGAAATAATGTTGCCAAGTAGATGAGAAATTAAACTAATAGTGTTATAATTAATTCAAAGTCTATAATGTATGTTTTAAATAACGTACTTTTTGTGTCAGATGTGTAAACATCATTATCATAATCACCAGCAAAGGCATTTCAAGCCATGATCTGCTTTATAGAAAATAAGTTAAAGTATAGGCCTCATGCAGGAGCTGCAATAACAGAATTTAGAGCTCAAGATTCTATAGCATATATTTTGTTCGTTTATTTAATTAAAGTTCATTGAGGTGACAATTGTTGGTAAAAAGTTACATAGGATTCAAGTGTACAGTTCTGTAATACATCATCTATATATCACATTGTATGTTCACCACCCAGAGCCAGTTCTCTTTCCATCATCATATACTTGTAGAATATATTTTCAATGGTGAACATTGTATGCTAAACCAACAACAAAGGTATGCGTGATTATGAAATGACTATAAGATCAAAGTGGAATAGCATAGGACTGACCCCCCAAAAAACCTTGGTAAAAGAAAATAAATAATATCGTAGCAGATGGCAATATGCTTAACTCGCAATACCTCTTTCAATAGTTGCACTTCTATTGGAAGTCCTGATTATGCCAAAGCAAGGGAGCAGGATGTGATTTTATGGGTCTCTGAACTTGGACAGCCTCATAGCCTACATTCTCAGGTCCTGTGTGCTGTCTTGTTGAAGCCTACCTTCATCCTCATGGGGACTGGCACATAGATGTGCTGATGGGTGGTGCTGGTTTACTTAGTTAAAAATCCCTCCTTCTGCTTCAAAATCCAGAACTTAATTATATATCCTCCTCACTGGCCAAGCTGAAAGCCAGCATAGAAACCTTCTTCAGCAATGATAACTATTGCTTCCTGGCATGTAGTTTGGGGAAACTATGGCAACACCCCCACGCTGCAAAGGGAATGGATTTGCTCTCCCTTTGTAGTTGCTGGACAATCTTTAAGTTCAAGAAAACATTCTGACTCTGAAATTACTTATATGCTGTTGTCCAATACATATGCCTGTGCCTGCCAATTATATATCCTGTAGCTCAAGCAGATATTCTTTGTATTCTCTCCAGAGGCAAGTTCAAGAAATGAATTCCCTACAGAGTGATTTTACCAAGTCTCTAGCCACTGCAGACGCTTCCTTACTGCAAACCAACGTTGTGCTACAGCTGATGGGGAAGAACCAGGAGGTAGAGAGACAAATCTTGTTCTCTAGAAAATCAAAAAGTATTTAAATTATATTGCAAGGAAACTATGAGATGGGATGATCTATTTTTTTTCTCCAGTGTATGTCTTTTAGTTGGAAGGAAATATAGCAAAATGTCAATGGTGTTCTTACTGCAGGCAAATTAGGTGATACAAACAGACACAAAGAAGTCACATAATTCACGGATGGGAGGGATGTGAACCCTCTGTGAATGATGTGAATTCTTTGTGTCTGTTTGTATTACCTAACTTGCCTGCAATAAGCAAATGTTATTTTTGTGATTAAAAGAAATTATTATGCTGTTTTTAAAATATCAAGCATACCTTTTTAGTAGAACACATTTAGGTCTGATAAAAGATTGACATTTCTTGGCAGCCCAATGGACATTTTGAAAATATCTTATATGATCACTATTTCTAAATCAGAAAAAGTGTTTTGGTTTAGTACAATTTTACACTAATGACAATAGTGTGCTGTTATAAAATTTATCAAAGGGGTTACCCACCATAAGGAAAATGTTCAAATGGGGGTAAAACTTGGGAGAATATGACACCACTAACGCAAGAAAACAAGGATTAATTGGTGTAGTAAATGGGCTTAGAAAACAATTTCTTTTTGTTGCCTCCTGGAACACGTCATTTATGACAGAATTCAAGAAAGTGGCATATACATTCTTTGCTAAAATTGACACTGTCTCTGTTTACTTGGAAAAAATAGGCATATGAAAAATTAGCTGCCACTTTAAATGAAGCAAGACATGAACTAAGTGACAAAGTGAGAGAACTTTCCCAATCTGCCAGCAAAGCATCGCTGGTGGCTTTGGCAGAGAAGCATGCGCAGTTCTTACAGGACCTGGCAAAGCAGCTGGAGGAGTGAGTGTGGGCCCCGGAGGTCTAAACGCAGAAGCTGCTGGTGCCTGTTGTGAAAGGCTCCCCTGGGCGGGCTGGGTCTCCAGAACAGGTTGAGGGGGGGGCGCCCAGTGCCCAGGACCGAGCCCCACCTGCAACAGGGCTCTGATTCCCAGTTGTGTCCTTGGGGTAGAGCTGCAGAGTGCCCCAACCTCAGGTCTTCATTTGCCAGATGAACCAGGGCCTCTGCTGCAGGCTGGGGAGGGCTACTGGGCACTTCACCTGTCTGTCTTCCAGGATCAAGAGGAATGTCAGCGCGGATGAGCTGGTGCGCTGTGCAGTGGACGCTGCCACCGCCTATGAGAACATCCTCAACGCCATCAAAGCGGCGGAGGACGCGGCCAACAAGGCCAGTAGCGCATCCGAGTCTGCCCTCCAGGTGGGCATCTGCACAGGCACCTTTTCTAGATGTAGAGAAGGCTCGCTTTCTTATTTTCATTCTGTGTGCACTGAGGAATATAAAAAAGCATTATTTTACATCTGAACTTGTTATATAGAATAGATTTGAACTTGCTCTAGATATGGGTTATTTCTGTATTTACTCGACTGATATATGTGGCACAATTTTTAAAACTTTGTAAAACCAGGGAGAAATTACGGTGATTATCAGTTTTGAACCAACATAAATATTATATCTTGCTTCTTATAAGGTATGCCTTTAGGCTGTGATTAGGTATTAACATTTACCGAAGAAGAGAGAGGGTTTTGTACACAGTTTGACAACCATTTATTTCCTATTCTTTGTCTTACACCTAGGCATGTCTGTGGAGTCCTATGGGGTATTATATGCACCACATTATATTCTTAAAAGTAAAGAACAAAATATCAAATATCAAAGCGTTAAGGGGAACATCTTTTGGAAGACTTTTATCTCCCAAAGATTAAAAACCCAAAAGCAATTCCGTTTTGTCTTCAGTTGTTGCACAGCGTATTGTATAAGTGACAGTGAGACAACGACATAGGTGTCACATAATTCGTCAGTATGTCACCACAGATGGGACTACCTTCCCAAGTCACAAATGTTTACCTAGAGCTCTAACTCTCTTTTAAGAAACAATCTTTTGAAACCTCTTCCTCCTCCTTTAAAGATTAAAGATACGGGCTTTAGAGTAGGATGAAACATCTTGCTCCGTGTTTCCTAAGGTATACCACATGCTTGAGACTGATAAACACTCTGCTTTCAGACAGTGATAAAAGAAGATCTTCCAAGAAAAGCTAAGAGCCTGCGTTCCGACAGTGCTAGACTATTAAATGAAGCCAAGATAACACAGGAGAAGCTACAACAAGGTATTGGGGGTTGGGAGCGGCCAGGATAATCAAGGGCTTGAAAACAACGTATAGGACCAGGAGAGGCAGCCCTAGAAACAAATGCTCTCTTGAATCTCAGCATTGATATAGATGTGTAAATCCATGATTTATCTTATAGATTTGATGTTTCTACCTAATATTCTAAGATATACTGAATTAACTAGAACCTAATGAATATAAATAAATCTGGAGGATGATAGACCTATTTTGTCTTGGACCTCAGGGGGCTATTTAATTTAATCCACTTGTGACCATGGCATTGGAACCCACATAGCAAATAGGTATGTGCAGTGCTTGTTTTTCATTTAAGGTCAAGAGCATTAGTTTCAGGTCATTAGAGTAACTGCTTCAAATTTTCCTAAGTCCTAAAATCTTAGCAACTTAAAAGTACCAAAACCCACTACCACTGTAAAACATAAGAATTCTTTAATCATAAATTTTATCTTTGAAAATTTTCCGCTTATTTAATTTTTTTTTAAAAAGAATTAAACCATCTCAGCCCACCAAATTCCTGTCTCTTGATTTTCTCTGGTTTCTCTTGGTCATTCATGGCCAAGCAACCATCTGAGCCCATGGCCCTCATTCAACTTCTTAGTCCTTTCAGAGTGATTAGATGCCTTCTACTAGTAAATTTATGATGTATGTATATATGTATGTATGTATGCATGTATGTATTTAAATTAAATACATGAAAAATAAAATACAAAAAAATATGTATTAACATATAATCATTTGCCTAGCAAATGTCAAGAATTGAAATTTCCTCATATGACATCTGCTCTTTATAATATTTGAGCTAAGAAGGGAGGACCAGTGTTTTAAACAGGTTTAGGATGCTAACTACGTTGTTACTTTTTCTTTTGTTTTCTACCAGCTTTATTTATTTTATTATTTTATTTCTTTTTACCTTTTGACCCCCTTCACCCATTTCTCTCAACCCTCAACCCCCTACCTCTGGCAACCACGAATCTATTCTCTGTATCTATGAGCTGTTTGTTGTTGCCATTAGATTCCACATAGACAGATCATATGGTTTTTAGTCTACATTATTTAAACCAGTCCTGGGGTCATAATTTAAGCCATCTGTTATCAGTTTGGTCTTAAAGCATTCACTGGTCATTTTCCATGACCCCAAAGTGTCAATATTATCAGCTCGGAATGTCTGTGAACTCTATTCCTTTCACTGAATTTCCATAAGTGTGTCAGTTTGGAAATGAACAGAAACAAACAATGCCTACTTGTGTGCATGTGTTTGCTTGGATGAGGCTCTGGCAACAACACTCCTTTCTTATACTCTGACTGAAGAGCCATCCTTTCTGTATTATTCATTCATTTGTTCATTTATTCCTGTAGTCATTCATTCATTCAATAAACATGTACTAATACTAAGCCCCGACTAGTGCCAGACACAGCGCTTTGTGCTGGGACACAGCAGCAAACTAGACAGACACATCCCTTTCTTCACTAAGCACAGACTTCTATCCTGAGCGGAGTGGAAGTTAAGCCCTCTGCTAGGTTATTAATCCCTCTCTTTCTTCATGTGCATTTCCAAGGAGCCTGGTACCACAGGTTCTGATATGCTCCTGACCTCTGTAACCAGAGCACCCTGGGACTATGGGTCTAGGCACATGCAGTGGGATGACCCCTAAGGTGCAGGTCTGCTCAATGCTGTGCAGACACTGACTACTTCAGGAGCCACCAATATCAATTCAGGATCAGAATCCACAGAGTAATTGCTTCTTAATGCTTTCTTTTATTTTAGAAATCAGTCCTGCTTTGAACAACCTACAGCAAACTCTGAAAAGTATGACAGTTCAGAAAGAGGTGATAGACACCAATATCACTGCCATCCGCGATGATCTTCGTGGGATAGAGAGAGGTTAGCATCTCCCGAGCCCACTGTACTTGGCTTATTTTGTCACACAGTTTAGATACTTACACCTCCCTATTTGTATGTGCATTAGGTGACATTGATGGTATGATCAACAATGCAAAGAGCATGGTCAGAAATGCCAACAACATCACAAATGAGGTTCTAGAAGGGCTCCATCCCATTCAGACAGATGTGGAAAGAATTAAGGACACCTATGGGAGGACACAGAGTGAAGACTTCAACAAGGCTCTTACTGATGCAGATAACTCAGGTAACAGACATTCTTGGGCCAGGACAGATTGTCCATTTTCCCCATTGTTATACGCTTTGGTCAATTTAAATTCTTCTCTACTAAAGTCTGATCTTAGAAATTAAAATATTAGAAAGCAGCTTCACATAACAAATTCAGAGGATGGGTATATTCTATTAATTAAAAGGACCAGGTAGGATACATTAACATTGCTGTTTATTTTTCCCTTTTAGAGAATTGAGGAATAGGTCCTGCATCATGAGGCATTGCATTATGATTGATATTAAGGATCAAAAAACAAAGATTTCCTTTTTCTATAGTGGTCAAGAAAGAGGATTTGATATCTAGATTGTAGAATAAAATCCCTGAAATATTTAGAAAAGGTATTACCTGATCCTGAGTCATCCTGTCCAACATTTGGGACCCAAACATACCACTTGACAATACTATCAATGAAAACACCTGTATTTAATGTTTTCTCAACTCATAATATAAATTTCTGTTTTTTAATTTCACCAATAGTAAAGAAGTTAACCAACAAACTGCCTGATCTTCTGAGCAAGATTGAAAGTATCAACCAACAGCTGTTGCCACTGGGCAATATCTCTGACGATGTGGACCGCATACGAGAGCTAATTCAGCAGGCCAGAGACGCTGCGAATAAGGTAGGTGTGTCCCCACATTGCCAGGCACCAAGGCTTATTCTTTGATAAGTTACCACATTCGTCAAGAAAGAAAAGGCACTTATTTATTCAAGGACCAGTTGTTTTTCTTGCCGTAATTCTTTGGTTCCTTGAAATGTGCCGTAATTCTTTGGTTCCTATCATCCTTCAAAAGTGCACATCACCTACATCTCCTAAATGATCTGGCATGTCAGGGACCTGAAGCACTTTCCTCGCCAGTGAGTTTACGCAGGCAGGAGAAAGGGTTCTCCTCCAGGCCCCAGTTGGTAGAGTGTTTCTACAAGTTTAAGTAAGGGTTCTCTGATCAGAATGTGCTGATATGATACTACACAGGACCCACTTTCTTACTGTAACTTGAAAGTTGTGGAATCCACCTTTATTGAGGATAGAGGAATGGTTCCTACCAGCACCGGCAGTGTTTTAAAATGGGGTTACAGTAATTTTTCATCATTGGAGCACTAATCCATGAGCCTTTCTCATTTTAACCTGACATTATTTACTTGGCTCCCTGACAGGTCTCTCCCACAATTTGTTTTGTCCTAACACAATATTAATGAAGTATCATGTATTTTTCAGCCACCCCGTTGTGAGATATAGTATTGAGAAATAGGGAGTTGGAAAACCAAGTCAGAATATCACCACCCTGGAGGCATTGCCATTGATTTCTGGCTCCATGTTACTTTTTCTGAGCCTCAAATTCTGCCCTTTTTTTTTTTTTTAGGAAAGGGAAGTACTCTCAACATAAAAACTTTAGCAGGGAAAAAAAAGAGGATAGGCATAGTGCAGGAGATACTACTCTCTTCATACCCAGAAATGCTTTCAAATGAAACAGAATGTGTTTCTAGCTTTTGCCCTTCTATGTTCATTCACTACTTTATTCAACAAAATTTGGAGTGTACATTGGTTAAGAACTGGCGCACATTGGTTAAGAGCTGGTGAGCCAAGCTAGACTGCCTTGGTTTTGATGCTAGCTCTGTCACTTATGAGCTGTGGGACCTTGGGCCAGCCACTTCACTTTTCTATGCCTCAGTTACTTCATCTATAAGCAGGGTAAATAGTAAGATGGACCTCATGAGACTGTTGGGATTAAATGAGCTAATGTAAAACAGTTCCCGGCTAATAATATCATAAAAGTGGAAAGTAATAAAATAAAAAATAATCAGCAAGTGCTTTTGAACACCTGGCTTGCGTGGCACTCTCCTGAGTAATGAGAACACAGAGATTGTTGAGTCATAGTCCTGGACTCAGGTTGCTACCCAGCTGCTATAAGTGACAACTGGTGAACAGACAACACTAAGAGGCTGGATAAAAGTGTGTTATGCAAGTCTTGAAACACCCATTTCTACCTGGAGAGAGTCAGAATATCACTAAAGGACACGTATAGGAATGTTCAATGCAGCCCAGCTTATACTCACACACATACACACACACACACACACACACACACACACACACACACACACACTGGAAAAATCCAGATGTCCATCAACAGCAAATGTATAGAATTGTGATAAATTTGTATAGTGAAAGACCATATGACAATAAACGTGAGTAAGCTGGATCCAGGTATATCAATATGGCTAAATCTAAAAAGAGAGTGAGGCAAAGAAAGCAAGTTGTAGAAGGATGTGTACAGCTGGATACCATTATATAAAAAATATTTAACACATACCATTTATATAAAAAATATTTAACACATGAAAAATAAGACTAATTACAGTTTATAGATGAATGAATATTTAGTAAAAATATTAAAACATGTATGAAACTATACATGAGAATCCAAATTTAGGGTAGCGGCGACCTCTGAGAGGGAGAGGGGAATAGGAACAAGATTGGGATATGCAGGGGCCATCAATTATTACATATGAGTCATGTTTAATTTCTTAAGATAGTTGCATATACAGGTATATTCTCCATCCTTTTTTGTATTCATAAAATATTTTTTAATTAAAATTTTTTTTTAATAAGTGGCAGTTTTCCAGGTGACAAAAAGCACAGAGCATGCCAGGAAAGACTCAGGATGCACTTGGGTATACTGGAGGGCAAAGAGTGAGTAGAAGAGAGAGGCAGAGAATGCGCCTGTCCACATGGGTGACGGGAACTCAGTCATGAACACTTTGGAGATATTATAGCTCATGCACCACTAAGCCCCCTCCACCACAACATACAAGGTCCTCCATAAATATTTAAATGCTTGATAAGTAAAATAATGAGTTGGTGTTAGTATCATGCCAGGAGTGTTATTTGTTAGAGAATATTTATTTTCTATTTTAATGCAGAGCTACCCAAGCTGGTCTGTAGACCAGCTCTTATCAGAGAGTTTTTAAGCCAAAATTATAATTTTTATAAGCACAAAATTTCATTTTTCTAATAATTTAAGTTTTAATACATTTTACAAAAGATTTGGTCCAGGGCAGATTAGACCAAAAAAAAAAAAGGTTCTTCACCATAGTTTAAGAAGCACTAATTTAGAGAGCCTTGATGCACACATTTTTAGGACTGAATGCCTGTAATAACATATAATATGCTCATGGGAAACAGTTCCTTAAAAAGTTAGCTCATTGACAGAAAAACCTTCCAGGGTTGGGATTGTTATAATAATAATGATCATATTTCTGGCACAGAGAATGAAATGCACTTCTCAAAGACCAAGGGGCTGATAAACAGAAAGAACATGAATGTTTTATTACTCAGCTCCAGAAACGGTGTTATGAGTTTATAATCCAGGCCTAGGAGACATTCACAGCCTTTTGCTCCTCATAACAACTTGGAGACAGTTAAAAGGAGTAGCTACAAAGTCATAATCTACTACTCTGAGCGTGCCCACTTTCCTCACAGGCTAATACCATAGATCTTTCTCTCACAGGTCGCCATCCCCATGAGGTTCAATGGTAAATCTGGTGTGGAAGTCCGGCTGCCAAATGACCTGGAAGATTTGAAAGGCTACACATCTCTTTCTTTGTTTCTCCAAAGACCTGACTCAAGAGAAAATGGGGGAACTGAGAATATGTTTGTGATGTACCTTGGAAATAAAGATGTAAGTATTACTTTGACATTTCTTTTGTTTTTAAAACAGAATATAGGTTTTAAGATGCAGAACACCACTGTGTCACTGCCATTGGCACAGCGGGGGAAAAAAATCCCACCAACATGTCAACGAACTCTACCACCTCTTATGGAGCCTTGAGGGATCTTCCCGTCAATCACAGATTGTCCTCTGCTGGCAGATTAGAGGCCTTACCTAATAAGCCCAACGCATGGACACAGATGTATACCTGGGGCACATACACACCTGGGGTTAAAGGTCGGCCTCTCTCCCCACATGAGCAGGGCTGCAATATCAAGGCTTCATGGAAATCAATAATAGTTCTTCCTCACAGAATTATGACCCTGTTCCCTTTTACAGAACGTCCAGCCCCAGCCCTTCCTCAAGTCTGTGGGGATGGGGACCATCTGTGGACGAGGACTGGAGCAAATGAAGCCTCTCCTAGCTAATTAAACCGAAATCCAATTGCCCCATCTCTTTATAATTCTAAATTCTTTAAACCACTACTGTTACTGGCATTATGAACAATTAATTTTAGCTTTTAATTCCTCCACTTAAAATACATTTCTTCAACTTCATTGTCAGAAGAAAAGCTGATCACTGATTGGGATAGGAAACAATTTCTGGAAAAGAAAGATCTTAAACACGGCTCTTGAAAATTCTGTCCAATTAAGAAATGGTTGGCTGTCACTAGTGGACCCATATTTAACAATTTCTAAAATCGATATTATTAATCACTCTTTCATGTTTCGAGGTGTTGGTACTTTATTTGTAGCTTTTTTATTACATGACTTTTGCTTTGTATTATAACAAAATGACATTATTTTATTCCTTCAAAAAATTTGTACCATATACCTACTAGGTGCCATACCCTATATTTATAATAAACAAAAATTTGTTTCTTGAATGTACTTAATGTACACTACAAACTGGTTAAAATAATATTTTACCACAATTTAAAATTTTTTGTATCTCCTTAAAATGCTCATATTCTAACAGGGAATAAAGATACATATGTATCTGCCCATGATAGTATAGGGTGCTAGGTGTTATAACAGAGGCATGCACAAAGTGTTAAGAGAACGTTGTATGGTATGGAGAGAACAAAAATGACTTATCTCCCTTACTAGACTAAAATCTAATGGGGACCTGAGTCCATGTCTGCTTCATCTTTATAGCTGGTGCTTGGCAAATATTTGTAGGTTGAGCAAATGGGGGAATGAATAAATGAGCACACTACACCATGAGCAAAGACAGCTCAGACATTATTAATTAAGTGTCCTGTTTGTATTACTCTGTGCAAGGATATACCTCATTTATTCTGTCTGCCCAAGGTTTATTGCATAAAACCCATTAGTTATTTGAAATGCACTTGCTCGGGCTGGGAAGTTGAGAGAATGTAGTATGTAATGTGTTCTAAGGTGGACTTTATACCTCTAGGCCTCCAGGGACTACATTGGCATGGCAGTCGTAGAGGGCCAGCTCAGGTGTGTCTACAACCTGGGAGACCGCGAGACTGAACTCCAAGTGGACCAGACCTTGACAGAGAGTGAAACTCAGGAGGCGATAATGGACCGGGTGAAATTTCAGAGGTACAAGTCTGATAGACTACTGCTCTTTGTTAATCTGACTTATACTTACCAAACTTAAATTGTACTTGTTGCTGAACTCTCATTTTAATGTTGTGGTTTTGATTTTTTTTCACTTTTGCATAAAATTTTATGTAGCTATATTATCTAATTTTTTTTAAACAGAATTTATCAGTTTGCAAAGCTTAATTACACCAAAGAAGCCACATCCAATAAACCAAAAATACCTCGACTTCATGACATGGGTGGTGGAAATAGCAATACACTCCTCAATTTGGATCCTGAAAATGTTGTATTTTATGTTGGAGGTTACCCACCTGATTTTAAAGTAAGTGCAAATGTTATTTCACTTAGTAAATATATTTAAGTTTTCATTTGGTATAATGACCTCATATCTCTAATTATCAATTATGTATAAGCTGGATTTAACTATATATTCTTAAAGCTTAACCAGTGATAAAGGTTAATACTTGAGTACTTCCTATGTGCAGTGATGTAGGCTTAAGTATATTAATTTAGAAAGCATCATTGTCATTCACACTTCAGAGATGAGGAAATAGACAAAGAGGTTGAATAACCTGCCCAAGGTCATACAGCTAGTAAATAGCAAAGCCAGGTAATTTGGTTCCAGGGTCCACATTCTTAACCCCTATGCTCTGTTGATATTTAAGTGATAGATTCATACAATTTCTTGATCAACCTGATCATTGTCCTTTGTTCAATTAGTAGATTTTTGTTTCATTTTTTTCAGCCTCCTAGTAGTCTGAGATTCCCTCCATACAAAGGTTGTATTGAATTAGATGACCTCAATGAAAATGTTCTGAGCTTGTACAACTTCAAAAATACTTTCAATCTCAACACAACTGAAGTAGAGCCTTGTAGAAGGTAAATAAAACCTAAAAACTAGTATCTCTATAACTGATTTTGTTAACTTGCAGGTATACTACATGTAATAAAGGATAGCCAGTGAGATGCTGTTGATGTGATTAGTTGCTTTGGGCCAGCAGTTCTTAAATCATGCTTGTATGCAACAATGCTAGTCCATCAATAAAATCTAATAATGGCAGTCTTTCCCTCATTTGTATACTATGTTAGATTGATAAGGTTTTCTCAATTTTGAAAAAATAAATCTTTCTTAAATTTTTGGTGCTTTCTACCACAAAATATTCAGTGTTAGATGGTACCTGATTTAGGCACACAAATGTATATTTACTGTAAGTTTCCAAAAAAATAATGGTCCACAAAGTACGCCATGACTTTCTAGCTACTCTGATACCTATACCTATTTGAAAATTGCTGCCTTGAACTCCTGATCTCCCCTCTACTTAAAAGGATTTGGAATATTCTAATATGGAACAGACTAAGTATTTATTACTCAGGATAGAAGTATTATATTTCAAGTTAACAATTTCTTACATTTCAAGCTCATCAGCTGCTATGCCTAAATAGATATTTCCAAAAGGGACTCTTGACTATTATCTTTGTTGAGCTAAGGTTTGCTTATCATAGAGCATAAGAGAACATCCAGGAGAAATAGCTGGTTGTTTTAAAATTTTAACTATGTTTCCTCTTCTTTAAAACATCATGACAACTAGATTGCATATGTTTTGCTCTGTTTTTCAGATAGCATCTCGTATCGATAAACATACTTGTGTGGTAGTATTTTGCTGCTGTGTTCTAACTTATAATAATTCATGTTGACAGGAGAAAAGAAGAGTCAGACAAAAGTTATTTTGAAGGTACAGGCTATGCTCGAGTTCCAACTCAACCAAATGCTCCCATTCCAAACTTTCAACAGGTGATTCAGACCACTATGGACAGAGGTTTGCTATTTTTTGCAGAAAACCAGGTAATCTATAAAAGCAACTAAATATTAGCTAATATGTCTATTCAATAGGTCAATTTGGGAGTAACTGGGTTATTATAAACAACCAACAAAATCTGAAAGACTATATTACCTGCAAATGTCACCTACATTCTTTCCCTTGGCCCAATTCTACTTTCTTTGGCTATGGGAGTGTGTATCTTAATAAGGCAAGTAATCAGGAATTTGAGAACATGCCACTGAAATGTGGGAGAAATCACCCCCTTTCCCATTCTATTTTCATTGTCAATTTCATTCTTTGAAAATTACTATTTGCCTAATAATTTACTTACTTTGCCTAAAAACATGTGAAGACCTCCTGGAATCTCTGAGAGCTAGCCTTTTTCACCACATGAGCTTTGCATGTTGGTCTGATTTTTGCCAGACAGTTTGAGGTTGTCTTTATCAACCTGACCCTTGCCTTCCCAAGACATGGAAGCTTCTCTTTTATCAAGCAGCTGAGATTCCTAGAGGCCATTTTAAAATCTACTAGTTTGGAAAAGTCCAAAGTGAAGCTCGAAGTTATCATCAGTGCCATCTGCTGGTAGATGGGCCTGGAGTTGACTGCTCTTGTGAACAGTCCTTCTGTAGTTGTACCATAAATAGCATTTCTGGAGAAATATGGATCAGTGCATGGGGTCTTTAGTCTGAGAATGTGAGATTGATAAGAAGCTTGGGATTTCACCAGACCCTTCTGACTTCAGGGTGAGAACACAGGCTGGTCCAACTCTCCTCTCTGGGGTTGGTCTTGACCCTCCCAGAGATTCTAAGGCTGAACCAGTTCTCATGGGTTGGGAAGGTCACGACCTACTGGAAGAAGGCAGAGAGGGGAGAAGTCACACAGCATCTTCAGGACAGGCAGTTGTTTTCCAAAACAAGGTCTTCTTTGTACTGCTACATTTTGAAGCTCTTAGACACTAACAATCAGAAATACTACTTATATTAGAAGAAAAGTTACAATGTGCTATAGTAACCAGATAAGAGAAAATGATCTAGAGTGCTACTGTTATGTAAGATGGTTCGTTACTCTTGGTAAATCAATGTTATTCTGTTACTTATGAGTGTGAGGAGCCCTAACTAGCCTCCAAGGGCAAGGTTTAGGGTCCAGATGAGGACTGGTTTTTCTTGTAGATAAGGACTCTGGCAGATGACTTCAAAGAGAGGCCTTCTTATCAATAGGGGACTGTGTCAGAGCAAACCTTCAAGCCCAATGGGAGAAATTCCCCAGCTTATCTTTCTACTAAGGAGATGGCTGGTTCAAGTATGTGACTTACACCATGATGGGGATTCAAAAACAACCAAGACAAAAATACAGTGCAGTGGTCAGGCCTCTACACCAACTATAAGTGGTCTCCCTAACAAGACATGAGTCCATCTGGCCCCCTAAAAAATAGTTACAACATTATTGATTATATTCCCAGACTGTCTTTTCTATCCCTGAGGCCATATTGTACTTACCAATTTGGAGGGCAGTAGATGGAGGAGGGGGATTGTTTCTGTGCTAAGAGTGAAAAGGATAACTATTGCATTGTTCTGTACACCTGAAACTAACAATAATAAATAAATAAATAAATAAATAAATAAATAAATAAATAAAAATAAATTTAAAAAAATAAATAAATAAATATAAATAAATAAATAAATAAACAACCAAGACCGACATGGTTCCTGCCTCCAAGGACTTTAGAGAAGAAAGACAAATATAAACAAATTTATGTTCGTTAATTGGTTCATTAATCCATCACAATGGTGAAGAGCCAAATAGAGGGTAAGTTTGGGGTATAATGAGGATTTTTAACAGAAAAGAATTTCTTGAACAAAGGATGCTTAATGTTGTGTCTGCTCACTAGTGGGCCGTGAAAGAATTCACAAAGTCAGGTGGAAATATAGAAGGAAGATTTACTAAAGTAAGAGAAGGGTTGGCTGGGCAGAGTCTGCTGGAAACTACTGGGTGGAGTCTTTGTTTCATCTCAAATTTTTTGTTTCGTTTTTTTTGTTTGTTTGTTTTAGCTGAGCCATCCGGGCACCTGTTGGCAGGTCAGCGGCAGCTCAGCTCTGGCCGGGCTTTGAACCGCTGTTGCTCAGAGCTCACGCTCTTGAGCGAGCTCTTATCCAACTGAGCCACTCGGCCGGCCCTTCGTGTCAAGTTTTATATTTTCAAACCAGGATCTAAATTTGCTTTGGCCTGTAGTTGTGGGTTGGGGAAGGTGCGGTTAAGCTGGTGATCACAACCTTTGCATGTGTTATGTAGATTTAAGTTGGAACCAGTAGTGGATCCCATACAGGTGCAAAACCTGTCCCAAGTCACATGGCCAGCACTGGGCCAAAGTAAACAGAACCATTGAAACTGCATAGTAAACGTATAGGAAGCAGAATCATTGATAGGCAAAGAAAACAAAGCTTTCAAAAAGAAGTCCCAAGCTAAATTACACTTGTTAAATCAAATTATACCAGAGATCCAATTCTCAAAATAAAAGATTTAGTGCCACCATTACAATCCCCCTGTCTTAACATGTAATCTGAGATCTGGAGGACAAGTAGAAGACAGCATTTGAAGGGGAGAGGACAGACGGGTTATCCATGTGAGAGGAGGGGCAAGAAGAAGCCCTGGGCATAGGAAGGGCAGGGAGCACTCAGGCTCTGAACGGTGGCCCAGATGGCTGGAGCACAGAGAGCCAGGGGGATCACAGAGAAATGAAGCTGAAAGGGTGGTCAGGGCCTCAAAGCATCTGCTAGAGAGTTAGGGCTTTATCCTGAGAGCAAAGGGGAGTAGCGTGCTCACACTGGCATATTCCAAAGACTGCTCAGTAACAGGCATTTTCAAAAGACCGCTCTGTGGAAAATGGATTTGAGAGGGGACAGAGTGAACATGGGGGGCGGGCAATGCATTATTGCTGTGCATGCTGTCCAGCTGAAGGAGTTGTGGCTGAGACTAGGTGGCATGTAATGGAAAAGAGAGTTAAGAAATGGTGGAATTAACAAGATTTGATTGGATGGGAAGAATAAAAAACGACTCCTAGTGGGTTTGTGGCTGGCTCAGCAAGGTGAGTGGTGGTGAGAAAGAGAGAAAGGAGGAGAGAGAGTAGCATGAAGGGTAGAGAGACAGGCTTGGAAGCAGGTGGGAGGCATGTAGATCGTAAGTTCTGTTAGAGACATTCTGAATTTGAGTATCTGTGCGTCATGCCGGCAATAACAATAAGGTAATCAGAGGTACAGGTCTAGCCCTGAAAAGACAGGTCTAGGCTGGAGGAAAACATTTGGGCTTCATGGGTACACACCTCATTTGGAGCCACAGGAGTCACTGTGATTGTGAAGCAAAGAGTTGTGGGAGGGCAGAGTCCTATGCAGGACACCCAAAGAACTGCCAGCACTTACATGGAAGGTACCGGGGGATGGGCCAGCATGTGAGACTGAGACATAGTAGGAAGTCAGAAAGCAGATGGTGGAAAATGCCTGGGGTTTAAGTAAAACCATGCTGCTCTGCAAAACATAGCAGTCTTGTTTTCACATCATATTAAAGATCTCTGTCTTTTCAGTTTCCATTTTTACATGCTGGTTATAGATTGCTATGAAACAAAATCATGATAGCAGCTAGCATTTCTTGTGTCCTTCATGTTTGTCAACCACTGTATATGATGTTTAATATGACTTGTAACATTTAACCATCATGCCCATCCCAGGAGTTGGATTTTACAGCACTATTGTCGCTTTGAACTAAGGAGGCAGCTGGAGCTGAGCGCAGTCGGTAACTTGAGAGTAACTTGAGTTCCAGTGCTTAGCTCTTCTGTTGATTCTCCTGGTAATCTACGTTGTTTCCATGCTCTAGGATCACTTCATCTCTCTAAATATAGAAGATGGCAGTCTCCTGATGCAATACAAACTGAATTCAGAGCCACCAAAAGAAAAAAGAATTCCAAGCCTCGTAAACAACGGAGACGATCATTCGGTATATCCTTTGAGCCTGTTTACTTGAATTGTTAAAGGTCTTTTGTCCTTTAAAATTAAGACAGTGCCCCAAACACTTTCTATTACCAGGTGAATTTATAGTTATTAACTGAGGGACATGTCCTTTTAAAATGTGACCATTTGGGCATGATGTATATAATGGCATATGTAAATACAGAGGGTGCCAAAAGAGTGTATACACATTTTAAGAAAGGAAAAAACTGTATTAAAATTGTAATACTCAATATATACTGATAACAAAAGATGAATACAAGTCATGTGTATTCATTCTTTTGACACCGTTGGTATATGGCATATATAAAACATGATTAATTTCAAATGTAAACATTTCTATTAAAATGTTTTAATATTATATTTTTATACAAAAATGCTACTGCTCAGAGTCTTCTACGAAGTGTATAAATGAGTCTGAAGGAAGACAGGAACATAATAGCTCTGAACCACTGTGAATGGGATTCTTTTGTTTCCCTTTGCTCACTAACTCATCTCTCATTTATTGCAGATTCAAATCCAAATTGGAAAAGTCCAGAACCTTATGAGGGTGGGTGTGAAATCTGAAACCACTATAATTGAAGGTGATGTCTTTGATTTCAACACATATTACCTGGGAGGAATTCCAATTGCAATCAGGGAAAGGTAAGATGATATGTATTTTTTTTAAAAAAAGAAGCAGATTGCTTCTCTTTGTGGCTATGCTTGCTACTAATTAGTTTACCTTTTTAAACTCTAATGACAAATAGACAAAAGTTAGCTTTTCAGTACTAACAGTGTTAGTACTAACAGTGTTAGTCAACAGAGTAAAATAGGCTATCAACACTGGATAATGGGACTGGCCATTTGGGGGTGGGAGAGTAGGAAAGCTCTGCACCACCCACCCCCACTGTCATACTTGGGAGGAGAGAAACCACAAGGAACATTGATGGTATTGACAATGTTACCAATTAGAATGGAGGCTGTGGCCCTGGAGTCCTTAACATAGGATAGGAGGACATAGCTGGTCCCATGCCTGACAAGCAGCACTGGACACTGAAAGCTGGGGTTGCTGCCTTCGGGAAGCATCTCATGAATAAAAGGCACATCTGTATTACCTGTTCCCTTATATGCTATTGAGCATGGAAAAGGTATGTAAATGTTTCTCAGATTGATGAATACATGAATTAATTAAATTCATTTGAAAAGAAGTAAAGCTTAATCTGAATGAGAAAAAATAAAACACTTTGAGAATGTATTTAAAAGTACCTTTTATGTGTTGTTAATTTGTTTATATCCTCCAAAAAGGCTTTTAGATAGCTGATGACAATGTGCCGAAAGAAGATACCCTGGAGGAGTTAGGACAGCCTCATGACTAAGCTAAGAGAGCTCCCAAAGTGTTTGATTATGATTACTTTTATGTGAGATCTGAGACTAGTTAACTCTTTTTCTAATTTATTAATCAGTTGGAAGGAGTACTAGGTGTGATTTATAAGGCATTGTGCAACGGTATTCTTTCTTCTAGAATCCTTACACATTTGAGCATCAGTCCGTCCTTAGTAAGGAGGCACTAATCTTTGTTTTAAAGTTGTCAGGGTTGTCCCCCAAGACAAAAATGCAGGTGAGAAAGCTTAGCACTTTAATTGTGTTTGGAGTGACTGTCTTTACTCCTTAGAGGCTTTGAACTGGGAAGGACCTTATAGATCATGGTATGTAACCTCTGAATTTTACAGATGAACTGAGAGCCAGAGAGTCCTGAAAACCCCTCCCACATGGACCACTGGGAGGCGGGCTGGGCATAGAGGAATTCTGCTGAGAACCCATAGTTGAGCTCTGTAGGGGCAATAAGCAATTCTTTCAAAGGAGGGGGGCCTTCTGACCCCTGGCATAAATGGAAGGTTCTTACAGACAGCAAGTGTGTAAACCTAATGTGGGGCAAAGCAAGCTAGTGTAATCTCTAAATGAAGCAGGCTTGACCAAGAGATTTGTGGGTGTTCTGTTTTCTCCTCTCACTGTAGTATATCTTCCAGGAATGGGAACCCAGATCTTGGAATGACTTGTTTAAAATCATAGTTAGAAGTCACAATCTGTTAATCCCATCTGCCTCCCAAGAGAAGAGAAAATCACCCCTGATAATACCAGAGATTCCCAAACCAACAAGAATTTTTTCCTGAGGACCAACATCATTGTGTCACAGAGTATAATAATAAAACATTAAAATAAAAATAATTTGAAAAGTAAAAGCCAGTCAAGGATGTATTGGGCATTTACTAAGTACTCAGCACTGAGTTTAGGATTACATTTTGCTCTTACTGCTCTCTGAAGTTGGCTACCAGCAAGTTAGGGCCTGTCTAAACCTTTGTGAATGGATTGGCTCACGGTATGCATACACACCCCAGTGGACTAGCGCATAAATACTGCACCTGAAGCCCCTGTGCAGCCATGTTCCTCTAGCAAGTGTGTTCAGACCCTGCAGACTGGAGAAAACATGGAACTCTAGGCCCTCCATGATCCAGAGTAACAAGAACGCCCCAAAGAATCATGGAGATAAATCTTCCATCTCTTAACATCTCTGCTGTAGATAACTGTTCTGTGGGAAAGAGCCACAATCATTCCAAGTGCTGTGGGTACACAAACTGTGTAAGCATAAGGCACAAGGGCTTGAAGTCACACTAGCTCATGCGACACACTGACCCCTCAGGTCTCAGTGCTGCTGCTTTCCTGCTGCATGACCTTGGGCAGGTTACTCAACCTCCCGCATCCTCCTTGCTGCTCCACCTGTAACATGGGCATAGTAACTGCCTATCTCTTAGGGTGGTTGAGGATTCAGAGTAAAGGAGTTAGCACAGTGTCTGGCATATGGTAAGTGCTCAGTAAATGTTAGATAAGAAAATATCTCCCTCAGGTTATTGTGAGGATAGAATAATAATACCTTGCACAAAATTGGTGCTCTGTATCTGTTAGTGGACTTCCTTTCCCCCTTTTCTGCTCTGCCACCTTCTTCCTTCCACCTATATTTTATGGAAAGAAGGGCATCAGGAGATGTTGATGGGTCTAAGACATGTTGACATGAAAGAGAGAATGAATCTAAACATATGTATAAATAGACAAGCTCCAAGAATTCATATGAACTTTCCTCCTCTTCTGAGGCAAAAAGCCATCTTTATAAAATAATTAAGCTCGTGCTGCAGTGCCAGTGAGGATTCGTTTCTTCCTTTTCCTTTAATGAAATTTAATTTTATGCATATTACATGTAGCTAAACTGTTCATAATGAATTGAATAAAGATGAATGCAGCCACCCTTCCATTTAGAAAAGTGAGCTGCCTTAAGGATTTATAATGAAATCAGCTTTGTGTTTTTCTTAGTACATCATTTGTTTAAGAAACGCAAATATTTGCCTGAACTTCAGTTGGTTTATGTATGTTAATGTTTTATGTGAATTCAGCTCCAGACAGACCCAGCAGTCAAATCAAAGGGGAAATGCCAAGGCAGCCACATAGGAAGGGCTGCATTAGAAATGGTTCTCATTGTAATGATTGCACTACTGTGGGGGTATTTACTGAGCCTATCTCACACCGAGTCCTTGCTCTGTACTAAGCACCATTGGAGTGTGTTACACATATTAACTCATTTAAACTCCTGACAACCCTATGAAACAGATTAAAATATCCCCATCGTATAAATGAGGAAACAGAGGCACAGCGAAGTTAGGTCACCTGCTCAGGCAGCACGCATAGGACTTGAACCCTGGCCCTAGATCCTACAGCTCTAGAGCAGCACTATGTCGCCTATTAGAAATACTTCCTGAGTGTTCCCAGCCATGTGCCACATATGGTTGGTTCCAAGCACTTCCTGCACATCAACTTGATTAACCCTCATGATAACCCCTTGCCCAGGTTGCACAGTTAGGAGGCGTTGGGTACAGCATATGAAACCAGACAGTGCTTTCCATTATTCCAGCCTGGCATTGGTTAAGTACCAAGCCACATTTCTCATAATTGACTAGAACCAAAAAGTAACAGTTTGTTTCTTCTGAGTTTACCATGGCTAACTTAAAAGTGGACAGAAAAAAAAAGAGTAAAAATTTTTCTAGTGCATTCCTGGTTCTAATAAATTACTTATTTATTAAGTTATTTATGTATTTATTAATATTTATAGTATATTGATTTATTAGTATACTTCCTATGTACCATGCACTGCCATGACTCCAGGAGGGGTGGGAGAGCAATTCTAGATATTGTGCGTCTTCTATGTCTCTATATCTTTGGGGACTCCAGCCAGTCTTCTGTCAACACTATTGTGTTCATTTTTAAAGATGAGAATGCAGATTCACATAGAAAGGAAGTAGGCTTTCCCAGCATCACAAAATAAGTAGCATTATAGAAATCCCTTGAGAGCAGATAACCATAAACTATGTACTTGTTTATGGGTGAGAAGTCGTAGAGAGTGCAGTGTTTCAGCTCCAATTCTCAGGCAAGCCTGGTCTGGTCCATGTCTTCTCTTTTTGTATCCCAAATTAGGTTTAACATTTCTACACCTGCTTTTCGCGGCTGCATGAAAAATCTAAAGAAAACTAGTGGTGTCGTTAGGTTGAATGATACTGTGGGAGTAACAAAGAAGTGCTCAGAAGACTGGAAAGTAAGTAAAGAGTTCAAAACCTTGCAAGGGAGTGCTCCCCAACCAGCGCATCTTCGGGTATTCGTTAACACATCAGCTTTGGACTTTTTTCTGGTAGCACACAGGGTTATCATGAACTGGCTCATATACACTCCCCACCTACTTGCAAAATCTCTTCAGGTTTGCATATTAAATGTGTAGGAAAGAAGGAATACCACCTGCACACATAAAAACTTACAGATGAATGATAAATTACCATTCAGAAAAGCAAACTCTCATTTCTTCCCACATTAATCAGTTCAGGTGAGGTGACATAGCATAAGATACCTATATTCCAGCCATGAAATGATTACAATGCCAGTAATTTATTTTGTGTTTGCATTTCAGCTCGTGCGATCTGCCTCATTCTCCAGGGGGGGACAATTGAGTTTCACCAATTTGGACTTGTCTGACCAGTTCCAGGCCTCCTTTGGATTTCAGACCTTTCAACCCAGTGGCATATTATTAAATTATCCAACACAGGTATGAAATATTGCATAAATATTGCATGAACAAGATTGAAACCTGCTTCAAAGTTTGATGTCAAAAACAATAGAGAGACTTTGAACGTAAACTAGCTGGACATTTTATCTATCATCACCCAGTAAATGCCATTGCATATTTCAATCGTGGAAGTTATTCCCCATCGCACGGTAGGTGCTGAAGGAAACCAAGCTTAGACAGTGCATTATAGTTCACAGAGTTGAATTTGTGGATATTCATGGCCTCATTTTCATTGCTTTTTTATTTATTTTTGATTCAAAGTGAATTATAACTGTTGTAAGTAATAATGTAGCTTAAATTTTTAGATCTAGGAAAAAAACCAGAACATATCCCCATTATTCCTTTTTGCTTCCACAACAGATAGCTCTCCTTTGGCAGTAGGTAGTTGGACAATATTTACATCTGGGGAATGAGAGAAAAGAAGGGCCTTTTCTCTTTGTTCATGCACAATAGAGCCACAGAAATTCTCTTCAACAAGGAGGTACCCTCTATAACTTAAGAGGGTTTAGCTAGTGTGGTTATATAGGTGTAGAAGTCAGCTAATACTAAGGAATCCCCTTGTGTGATGAGTGGAATTTTAATACAGAAGTAGCGTTCTGTCATTCTTGGAATTGTTTCTTCAGAATTTCCAGCACAACAGACATCTAGTATTTGTTGAAAGGAAGGACAGTAGCTGACTCTGTGCTTCTGTCTTATTACAAGGCCTCTCCTCTCCTGACATCTTTGCTCATCAGCCTTTATAGATCTTTTTTCAAAAACTAGTACTAAAGAAGCACATGCTAACATTTGGATTGCGAGAGTGGCTTTTCCATCAAAACAGGATGTTTTGATGTATTTTTTTGACACCCAACACTTGTTTCCTCTACCAAGGATTAGGACAGTTAGTACACAATATACAAAATGGTCAAAAGCAGATGGAAGAATTGGTGTAGCAGAAGATGAGATGAATCCTGGGCAATGCTGGAATCCTAGAAATATCCTAGGAACATTGACTTCAACTTCATAATGGGTTGGCTAAGAAATACATGTCAATTAGCATTTTTTAATCCAATTCACATTGAATTTTGCCAACTAAAAAATAAAGCCAATGTAAAATGAACCTGACAATGGCTGCAACCACACACTGTAAAATTATTTTAGACTAAAAACTCACTGAGGAATTACATCTTGCTGAAAACCACAAAAATTGTACTTGGTAGAAAAAAAATCAGCAAAATTAAAATGACAACTGCTAAAACTTCACATATTTTATATTAAGAATTTACAGGAAGAATCAAATCATCTTGCCAGAATTTATATCTGCAGAGTTTGACAGTGGAAAATTGAATTCCTAGAAATTATGACCAGAAAATTTAAAAAATTCATAATGACTAAAGGGAAGCTATCATTGTTACAATCACATATATAAAATAAATTAATGAATCAAGGCTTTATTGTAAAGTTTATTCAGAAAAGAATTGATTGATGAAAATAACTTCATCAGAAAGTGGAAATAGAAAAATTTAGAAAGGGTTTAACTGTTTTCTATAAGTGATAGAGAAATTAAAATGGTTTATGAATGTAGGTCCATAAAATGCTTTTGATAAATTTATCAGTGTTGAAATAATTTGCATAAGATTTTTATGTTCATAAACATAGAGTTAAAATATTTAAAAATAATCTTTTGATCAAACTAGCAAAGTCAAAACATTTGGGTCAGAACATCCTGACTCTTTTATACATAGCTTTGATCATAAATTCACTATTGATGCATTCGTAATCCTTAAATGCAAATTAATTGCATTGATGGGTATATTCTATGATGTTTTCAGACAGGTAACCTACAGGTCACCCTAGAAGATGGTCACATTGAACTCAGCACCAGGGATAGCAGCAGCCCAATTTTTAAATCTCCACAGACATACATGGATGGTTTACTGCATCACGTATCTGTTATAAGTGACGACTCTGGGTGAGTGGAATGGCACTTGTGACAGAGTTCTAACAATTTTATTTTATTTAGTTTAATGGAATTTTCTAGAATCTTTTCTTGTGAAATATTTGTCCTTGATGCTGACACTATTTTAGTAGTAAGTTCTGGTCTTCTCCCTGTTTCTATATCATTTCCTCATTTAAAAAAAAACAAACCAATCAGCATTGGATGGATAAATTGTGGTATATTCAAAATAGGGGAATAAAATGGGAGGAAAGACAATGAAAGATCTACATCTACATGTGATGCCATGTTTCCCGGGGTGCTGGTCAGTTCTTTATCTGGGTGCTGGTGATATCGGTGTATTCACATTGCATAAACTCATTTAGCTGTATACTTGTGATATATGCATTTTCAGTATATATAAAATACTTTAATAAAAATATGTGCAGAAAGAAATACATGAAAAGAAGTTTAAATGCTTATTTAAAAATAAGTCTAGTGTAGCAAGTTATTTTATGTAAAGGACACTGAGTCAGAATTGAAGACAATAAGTTGACCACAAGGTGACAACCTTTTTCTCCCAGCACTTCTCACTCTTGTTTTGCTTTCCTTCTCTTTCAGACTCCATCTTCTCATTGATGACCAGCCTTTGAAAAGTAACCAAAGGCTGCAAAGCTTTCCCCAGAAACCCCTGCGTCTGGGCGGGAGTGATTTTGAGGGTTGTATCAGCAATGTTTTTGTCCAGAGGTACGTACCGTCTTCTGGGTGTGTGGCTGATCAGAACAGCCTGCTGATGCAGAGTGAGTGTCTTTGGTTTGTTAGCGGAGTCAGATTACTACCGCCTTTCAAAAAATGATTTCTTTGACACAATACATACATTAAAAACAAACCAACAACAACAACAATAACAAAAAATCACCTGGGCCCAGCCTTCATTTGTAGGAGTAGCTTTGGCACATAACCTTGGAAAAGGTCTAATTAAAATTAAGGGTCAGGTTATGGCCCTGAAGAATTTTCACACTGAAATTTTGTTTCATTTTAATTAAGATTGCACAATTAGATTTCATCAGTTCTCCCAGTTTTCAAGGCCAAGGAATTGCATGGACCACACTGCAGTGCTAGGAAACCAAATCACCACAGCACTGAACGTGACTTTTTGTAGAGAGAGTAGAGCTTGGTGCTTGCATGAAAATGTTTCAATGTTCTTTCCTTTTAATATGAAATGATCATTTTTAGATAAGAGGCAAAACCCTCCCCAGGGCAGAGGAAGGACCCAAGACTGGTCATGAACCTCAGGCAGCCTGTCAGGAGCTTGTGGGCTCCTCTTGTCCATCAAGGCATAGACAACAATTGTGAGATAAAACAGATTTATCTGTGAGACTTTCCTACTCAAATGCAGTGAGATAAATCCTTCCACAAACTCACTTCTGAGGTTTCCTTATGTACACCATCATTCTAGATCGTCCATTGCCCGTGTTTCTCCTCTGTGCACATTTCATTTCTATATGACACCCATTCCAAAGGAAGAACTGTAGTAGTCAGTCTTTGCCAGAGTCCTGGTCATTCAAACACCAAAGGAAAGGAAAAAGAAGAAGAAATGTTTCTCAAGCCCCTTGCTGGCAAGGCACAGCATTGGGTGTTTTATGGGTACAGATGTGACAGCACATCCTCACCCTCTGTGAGCCAATGACTCCTCTAGATAGAAGTTACAGGCAGGAGATGAAAGGTTACCCAGAAGCCATGACAGTAAGAATGAGTATTTTTGGAACAACCTCTCCCCGCCAATGTGTCTTTCTTAATGTGTCAGAGTTGGGCAGTGACTTTCTTTTCTGCCCTCATTCCAGGTCATCACAGAGTCCCACAGTCTTAGATTTGGCTACTAAATTTACCAAGAGAGATGTGTCCCTGGGAAGCTGCAGCTTAAACAAACCACCTTTTCTAATGTTGCTTAAAGATCCTACAAGGTTGAATAAAGCCAAGACTTTCAATATCAACCAGGTAAGTGTCAGAACTTTATCCTGGCTTTTGCTTCTTGCCATCTCATGGGAGATGTTGGGGGAGAGGGCAGGAGGAGTGGGAGGGGTGTAGATCACCTGAGCCCGTGGTGGTCAGTGCTTCCAGGGAGTGGGATTGACGGGTCAACAGCTGGATTATACCAAAAGGCCACAGCGGTTCTCTTTCTAGCTCTTATTTTGTATCTTGATGACAATTTGGCAATTTTTGCAGTTATAGAACAAATAGAACCTTGACCGAGGTTTACAAATTTCTGTAGCTGATGTCTCATTCTTTTGACATTTCTGCTGCATCTCCAGCAGGTATGTTGACTGTTTCTAGAACACAGGGACCATGCCCCTTCTCCCCACAGACATTCCTCTGTCCTATCTCTTGTGACCGATATACACATGCACCCAGGCCCTGCTGAGACCAGTGCAGCTTGACTTTGACTACACATGAGTAACACCTGGGGAGCTTTTAAAATCCAAACACTCAGGTTGCATCCTACTCAATTAAGTCAGATGCTCTTGAGGTGGGTCCAGGTGGCAAGACCAAAGCCCCCTGGGTGATTCTAACGTGCAACTCTAAGAGAGGCTAAAAGGAAAGGAAATTCCTTATTTGGAGGAGTAGAAGCATCATAATGAATTGAACACAGGGTTTAGACTTAAAGAATTCCTTGCTCTGCCTGAGGTCAAGGGTGTGACCTCCCCATGTCTGAGGTTACAATTAATATAATTAATGGATAACATTGAGCACCTCCCATGTGCCAGGCATTACACTAAGCTCTTTAAGTGGATTTTCTTACTAATCCACAAGTAACCTTGTGAGAGAAGTACTATTACTAGCCACATCTTACAGAAAAGGATGTTGCGGTTTAGAAAGGCAAGCACTTTGCCTAAGCCCCAGTAGAAGGAAGGTAGAGTTGCAATTCAAACCCAGGCAGCCTGACTCCAGACTCTGCGCTCTTAAGAGCAATGTGCTTCTGTTCAACACACTTTTCACTTAACGTCAACCACACACTGCTTGTCTGCCAATATTTCCCTGCTGTGCAAAGATTTGGGGGAGTTGAATAGATGGTACATAATAAGAAATGTTTTATGCTATTAAAGAAGGAATATGCTTAATAAATCCCAAATGGTTGTCATTTCACTGTTATGAAAAGAACATCTTTAGCCCTGCCCCATTGGGAATGAAGTCATATATTCATTTTTTCACTGTAAGGCTGAAAGTTACAGAGAAACTAAATTAGCACAGCGATGGTGGAGATGGAGAGAAGGAAGTGAACTCAAAGCTATTTAGAAGATAGAATATACATGACTCATAATAATTGAATGTGGTGGCAAGGGAGAAACAGGGGTTAATAAAATCCTGAGGTATCTAGTCTGGGTTATTCACTAGATGGACATGCCATCGTGGAGAGAGGACAAGGACAAGTATTTGGAGGGAAAGAGAATGAATGGAGTTTGTGACATATTGAGTGGCATGTGCCTGCAGGACATCCAGGTAGAGAAGACTGGTGGGAGACTGTCAGGTGTCTCTGTGTGGGCTTCAGCAGATAGGGTGGGAATGGAGCTATTGATGTGGGAGACACCAGTGAATACACTGAACTTAATTTCCTCCCTGTTCTGTGCAAGCCCCCAGATTACATGGACTAAGACATTAATTCTGCTTCCAAAAAGCCCAATAACAGAGAGAAGGCAACAGAGCTTTGTAGTTAAGTGCTGAACTTTGGGGTCAGACTTCCTGGGTTTGCATTAGGCATTTTCACTTAATAGGTGTGTGACCTTGAATGCTTATAGAAGCTCTCTGTGGGTGTAGTTTCCTGCAACATAAATGAGGGTATATAATAGTACTATCTCATGGTGCTGTGAGGGTTAAATGAGGAAAAAAATAAAAAACATGTAGAAAAGTGCCTGGCACATGGTAAACACTCAGTAAAATTAGCTATTATTATTATTATTATTATTATTATTATTATTACTATTATTACTATTATTTATTATTAAACACACTAGCGACCTAAGTGAAAGGGACCAAACATGCTGCAGGCGTGGTACAGCAGGACTTTCCCTGCCACAGAGATCAGGGGAGTCCTTTTGGAGCAGGTGACACACGAACTGTGTCTGGAGCATGGGTTGAATTTAGACAAGTGGATGGTATTGCTACATGAGCCAAAGCCCAAAGCAGGAGGTTAGGATGTGAGTGGAACTCACAGGTACAAGACACTACGTGCATTCTCCCTGATCTTCACAGGTCTTCATACTGTCTCTTTCAGTTCTCAATACACCCCTCTAAGAGCAGAAAAAAATGCCAACTTTATAGGTCAGGAAACTGAGTCTCAAAGAGGTTAAAAAAAGACAGCTGAGAACACCCAGTCAGTAAATGATAGATCCAGAATTGGAGCTTAGGACTGTAGAATCCCAAAGAATGTGCTCTTCACAGTCACATGCTCTTCACATGTGGCCTCTGCAGGCTTAGGAAGCTTGGTGAACAGAGGAAATTTGGTAGAGAAAGGAGAGTGGCAAAGGTAAGTTTGGAATCATACTCAAACTAGACCAGGCGAGCCCTGGATGGCCTGATGTAGTGTTGACATTTTTCTATAGTTAACATGATTACGGAGTTTCACATCCTAAGCTGCAGTAGGGTCCAGGTCTGGCTGTGGTTTTAAGCAATTCACTTAACTTTCTGGTGATTGAACGTTTCCACTCAGCAATGTTTTAAATAATGTATCAAATTTGCATTCTGACCACCCTATCTAGGAATTGGGTTGGGGAGGAAAACCTGATCTTGAAGAACTCGGAATCTGTTGGGAAGCTTTCAGCTGCTAGTTCCAAAACATCCACTGCAAAATGGTTTAACCCGTCAGGAGTCTATAGTGTCACATTAACAGACATAGATGGGGCTTGAAGGCTGGCGCATCAGGACGGGGCTCTGTTTCCTCACCATCATTTTGGCTCTATCCTGCACAGTTGAGGGTGACATACCCTTAAGTAACAATACCCAGCACCAGAAGCACACATCTGTTCTCAGAGGCCCCGCCCCCTGACTTCCCCTCAAGGCTTATTGGCCAGGAGGGGTCACATGTTCATTCCTGAACCAATCCCTAGCAAGATGAATTCCCACCATTCACTTTGAAGAATGGAGATCCCTCCTGGGCTCTGAGACCCCTGGGAAATGCATGGACATGTCATTCAAATCTGGGCTTTGTAGCAGAGAAAAGGAAGGGAGGGATCAGGGCTGGCAAGTCTCAATTTCTTCCAACAATTTTTCTAGTTATATTTGATGTTTATTGTGGTTGTATTCTGCATTAAAACAGACCTGGTCAAAAGTTCAAAGCACCGTCCAGCTCAGGACAGACTTCTGTGCATGGGCCAACTCTGATGAAAGTGGACACAGATTGTGGTCCCCCGACATCTTCTGTGTCTTGCTGTCTTGGTCCTTTCACTGCCCTGCTGCAAAAGCCAGAGTGAATGGCCCCAAGGGGGAGGTGGTGAGGCAGTTTCGTGTCCCACAGGCTGGCTGCGCAGGCCTCAGTGCTGCTGGCCAAATGCTGGCTCTCAAGAGATACTCTGGTTCTAACCAAGCCCTGCGGTGGAGAGCGGCTCTGGATATCCACTGGTCCCAGGTGCAGCATTGTTAGGAAAGAGAGCAGACTTGTGTAGGGTAGGAATAACATCCACCCTCTCCAAGGATGAATTCATTTGTATTCAATTCCTCTCTTAGGATCAACAGTAAAAACTGAGCCAGGCACTTGGCACTATAAGCATTCTTCATTCTTTCCCTGATAATTAACTGTCCTGATTTTTTGTGTTTTTTTCCCATGTAGCCATTGCAGGACACACCCATGGCCTCCCCAAGGAATGCAGAGGTGTGGCGAGATGCTCAGACTTGTCCATCACCTTCCCAGGCCCAACCCAATCACAGAGCCCTCAGGTTTGGAGACAGTCCCACCAGCCACTTGCTATTCACGCTTCCCCAGGAGATGCTGAAACCCAGGTATGATTTAATTTTCCTGCCCCCACTCCAACTCAGAACCTGACTCTGTGATTTTACTCCAGAGTAGACTAGCCGGCATGACACCATGCAACCTGTCATGCACCTGTCACTAATGATGGTGGCACTACCACTTTTGTGAAAAGAGGTGCTAGCCTGCACAGGACATGAAGCATGATTGCCCGAGTGGGTTCCCTCCCCAGCTGGAATGCACACGTGACATGTACTGCTCAAAGGCTGAAACAATGAGCTCAGCTCTGGTTTAGAATTGACAGTGTTCTAAAAATAAGGCTGATGATTCTTTTCAAAGCTGCTATTTATTTCTGTGATAAATCACCTTTCTTCTCCTACATTCTATCATCAGAGGAAAATCATTCTTTTAGGTAGGCTCAGTGCCAGATAGATCAGTTTTAGAAAATACATTTGGACTTTTTGTGCTAAAAAGTTGCATCTCTTTGAGGGATGAAAGAATGAGAAGAGATAATAATTATGTCAGAAAAAAAAAGGTAGGAAAACAAAGTTTGTCATTTTTATGTGATTTGAAGGAGACATAAATAAAAAGGTGCCAAAAGTTCCTTTATGACTTATCTCTAGGAGCAGATTTTCCCAGGGGCCCAAAAGACCTGGCTTTCAGTGCCTGCTCAGCCATTCGCTGGCCGTGTGAGCTCAGGCCCTGTGCCAGTTCAGGTCCTGCAGGATGCAGATGTCAGGATGGGATTCAATGTGCAGGAGATTTATTGTTCCTGTAGAGAAAGGGGGAGGGGCACCAGCTGGCAAGGAGAACTGTCAGCTGAGATAGGGGCCTGATGCCTTTGAATGGAGAGGGGAAGGAAGAAGTGGGTAGGAAGGTGCCTGAGACTGCAGTGTGGCTCTGAGAAAGTCAGGCTTTTTACTGCCGCCTTCGAGTGTTAGTCAGTTAGTCTTTTCTGAAAGCAAGTTGCTTTAGGAAATGATTCTGGAGAGCACATGTCAAATCTGATAACCAAGCCCGCATATGCAAAGTACTTTAACGCTGTAGCAAGCTCTGATATCCTCCTTAAATTGGCTAACCCTCATTTTCCAAACCTCCGCACTAACACACAGATACACCCAGAGAAATATTGAGCAGTGTCACCATCTGCTTGGTTGAATTGAACAAATATAGATTTCTTTTTCGTTTTGAAGAATGTTACCCTCAAGGGAACTTGCTAATCTGAAGAATTAAAGTGTATCTTAGTGTTTGCTCAGCCTCACGGTATTGAAAAGCAAAGAGAAGTTAACAGTGCAATTTTTTTCCACTTCCTGATTCTGCCTCCAAATTTTCCATTTGGCATTTAATTCAATTCAGTAACTATTTCTTGAGGGCCTAATGTGTCCTAGGCACTGGGGATACAGCTTTAAGTAGGATAGACCCAGTTCCTGCTTTCTGTCTGGTGTGCACCTTGATATAAACCACAAAGAATGGGTGATGACAGCCTATTAATTAATACCTGTATCTCCCACCACCTCTTCCCACTGCACTTTTAGGCACCCCTCTCCATGCACCTGAGTGGGGTGCACCATAAACAGCTCAAGGAGTGAAACGTCCATTGCTGCATTCCCAGTGTCCACCACAGTGCCTTAGACATACTACACTCTCATTAAATATTTGTTGAATGAATGAATAAGTAAAGGAATGGATGGATAGATGAATGAATTGAGTCTTCATAGAAAGTAAAGCCTGTTTGGCCAGATGTGCATATGATATGTAACCATCATGCAAATGAATATTAACTTTCATTCTCTGCTTTTACTGCATGATACTTGCTTAATTCCTGTTCCATCATAGGTGAGGTATTAAGATCTGAGAAATGTCAAGGTGGGTGGGAAAAGGTGGATCTGTACTTCTGTGTCTCTGTGCTAAATGTGTCTTATAGAAAGAAAATCCTTGCCTGATATTCAAATCAAATCCTTGTTATTCAAGTTATCCCCCAACATCTCTTCACAACTTCTGTTTGCATGTATACAATCAAATGCATACTCAGTGTGTTTAAAAAGTATAGGTGGCTGAGTGAAATAAACCAGTCACAAAAATAAAAATACTGTATGATTCCACTTACACAAGGTACCTAGAATAGTCAAATTCATAGACAGCAAGTGGAATGGTAGTTGCCAGGGTCTGGGGGGAGGGTAATACAGAATTGTTTAATGGGTAGAGTTTCAGTTTTGCAAGATAAAGAATTATGGAGATGAGATGCATAATAATGCGAATGTACTTAAACCCTTTAAAACGGTTAGGATGGTAAGTTTTATGTTATGTTTATTTTACTGTAATTTTTTTAAATGTCAATTTATTTATTTTTTTTATTTTTTTTTAAGTAAGGGATCTTCCTCCTTGCATGCGCTGGGACTTGCTTGCTGTAGAACTTTCACGTTATTTCCCAATGCCTTAGGGAATTATACAACAAAACTTTCAACAGCCAAAATATAATAACTTTTAAAAATTCCCAGAGACAGTTCATTTAATCAGTACATGCCTTAGTTTGGGGGTTGGGGGTTTGTTTCTCACTCTCCCAGTTTCGGAAGATTTGGAAAAACACTAAAAACCTCTATTTTCCTTCTTTGCCTATTGTTCTCTTTTTCCCACAGGTCACACTTTGTTGTGGACATGCAGACAACATCCTCCAGAGGGCTTGTGTTTCACACAGGCATTAAGAACTCCTTTATGGCTCTATATCTTTCAAAGGGACGTCTGGTCTTTGCTTTGGGAGCAGAAGGGAAAAAACTGAGGCTCAAAAGCAAAGAGAAGTACAATGATGGGACGTGGCACACGGTAAGAGCTGGGGCTGCCTTAGACTCTCCAGTTGGTACAGAATTCACTGTTGAGTAGCTGAAAGGAGTCTCAGCATTCTTCTCGGCATGAAGGCACAGACCCTGGGAGAGCTCTTGTGATTGGAGGCACTGAGCACTCCACCATCTCAGCACTAGAGACTGCTACACATTACATGCCAGGATGTCATTTTAAATGCCAAGATGGGCTTCTTCAGTCCCTTCCATGCCCCCCTGAGCTGTCTCCCTCCACCTTGCCTACCCCCACCCCTGCTTCCTGGACCATTTTTTTCCTTCAGGACAATTTCCAGGCCTCCAGGCCCCTGTCTGAGCCTAGAATGCCTTCTCCATAACACAAGTGTAAAGACCCCCATCTTTTGCCTTTAAGCATCCCAGATTTAAAGAAACACAATTAAAGGCAAGAAGGGGCCTTTTTTTTTTCTTTTTCTGATGAGGGAACTGGAACTCAGAAAACTTCAGTGATTTGACAAATTGTACTCAGTTAGTCAACAAATATTTGATGAGCTGTCATCCTGGAGCATATAAACACAAAATTCTCAATATAATGTCCCATACTGGTAAGTGCTTTGAGAAAACACTAAAGCAAGATAAGGAAGTAACTGAGTAGAGACTCTTTTAGATAGGATAGTGAAAAAAGGCCTCCTCCAGGAGGTGACAACCAAATGAAGTTATCGGAGGGTATTCTAGGCAGAGGGAACTGCAGGTACAAAGACTCCGAGGTAGAAATTAGCTGAGTGAACAGAACAGAAAGGTAAGAAATGGGATTTACCAGCAAAACAGGGCCCAGATCATTTAAGCTTTGAAGGCCAAGGTGAGAATTTTGCATTTTATTCTCTGTCTCTGAAGCTTTTGGAGAATCTAAGACTAAAAAAGGAGCATTGCATGAACAGATTTATATTTTCGAAACTCTATTTCGCTGCAGAGACTAAAAGTGGGTAAGAGTAGAAGCAGGTAGACCAGATGGATCCTACCGTCTTTGCTTCGAGAGGCCATAGTGGAAGTGGAGAGAAGTGGACCGTCCAGAATGTGTCCTGAAGGCAGACCCAAGAGGCCTTGCTGATGGGTTGCATGTAGAGTGTGAGAAAAAGAGGCGTCAATATCGAGTCCTATGATTTTGGACCAACTGTTGTGTCAATTGTGGGACTTTTGCTGAAATGGAAAAGATGGGGAGGAGGTGGGAGTGGCTGGGAAAGGAGTCATTGAGAGCTGGGGAGGAGGAGGAGCTCTGGCGTGACTATCCTAGGGATGAGTTGCCTATCAGAGAAGTGAGCCCACATGTCAGTAAACAGTAGAGGCCAGAGGGCACAGCCAGGTGTATAAATTGGGGAGCCATCAGTAAATAGTCTCATAGCTATGAGGTGGCAGAGACCACAGTGGAGCCCAGGGATCCTGACTTTTGGCAGAGTTTAGAACACTCGCTCCTCTCGTTAGAAGAGAAGTAGCCACTGGTCCCTTGCTCCAGGAGCCCTGCTCCAGGGAGCATGTGACTTCTCCCCCCTTAGTTCTGCACAAACTATCCCTTCCCCTTTGTTGCATGGGTGTGTGTATATTTATGTTCCTTTAGCTCTTCAGTTTTTTATGTTTCTTATAAGTTTCCAGATCAATTATATCTTTATTAGTTCACTTTTGAGCAACCTTTTTTTTTTGAGCTCATTTTTTAGCTCACTCTGATCAACATCTAACATAATCCCACAAAATGATGATGATGACAATGACAACACTAGGGAGAAAATGCTCTGATTTTTTAAAGCTATGTGAAGGGACAGAAAAACATTGAAAAAAAAATCTCCTGTGACCACTAAATAAAATATAGCACCAATTGTCAAAGGTAAGAATACGATTAACTTATTGTCTTTACTCGTAAGGTGGCATTTGGGCAAGATGGAAAAAGGGGGCACTTAGTTGTGGATGGTCTGAGGGCCCAGGAGGGAAGAGTGCCTGGAAATTTCACCATCAGCCTCAGAGCACCAGTTTTCCTGGGATCGTCTCCATCAGGAAAACCAAAGGTAAGTAGTTATGCTTCAGAGCCATAGATCAAAATAAGGCACCTTATAATATAATCTTGAATATCTTATATAATTATAACCTTATAATTATATAAGATATTCAAGAATCTCAAAATACTCTAGGTGATTTTTAAATAATCTAATACCCATAAGCCCATAGAGAAGTAACCAACTATTCCCCATTCCCAGCCCTTCATTTTAAAGGTGCAGCTTGAAGGGGCCGGCCGAGTGGCTCAGTTGGTTAAGAGCTCACTCAAGAGTGTGAGCTCTGAGCAACAGTAGTTCAAGTCCCGGCCCGAGCTGAGCAGCCGCTGAGCTGCCAACAGGTGGCAGGATGGCTCAGCTAAAAAAATTTTTTAAATTTAAAACAATTAAAAAAATAAAGGTGCAGCTTGAGATACAGGTCCTGAAGGAGTAATTCAGGGCTTCTCCATGGCTTCATAAATGTGAATTTCTTAGCTTTTATTCCACGGAATGCAAAATATAAGTTTTAGGTTGTAGGCAGAAATTTTTTATTAAGATAATGTTTTTCTTACTTTAGCAATTTGTGTCACCTTCATTATCTTTGCCATGCCCAGTAAAACATTTACTTAATAGTTTGCTCTTAGTCATCTGACTATTTAATTTAAATTTGGTTTTAAAGGATTTTTTTCTCTCTCACATACATGGAAACCCAATGTCCTTTACGACATAGAGTAGGTAACCTTAAAAATAAATGTATGAAAATAAAAGTGTTGAAAAGGCCTAGCTAATAGTGTGGCCTGCACTCCCTTCATTTGTAGAAAAAGGAACTTGACAAGTGATCAAGAAGTATTTAAAATGTATTAACAAAAACTAAAATTTATCTCTAGACCTAATCAGAAGGCTAGCAAGAGAACTGCAAAAGGAATAACTTCATAACTGAATATGTGTTTTAATGTTATTTGGTGTCTGAAATCAAATTTCTCAAGAGCCAAACTTGGAAACACTTTGGGCTACGGGAAAGTCACGAGTCTGTCTGTGCCCAAGAAGGAGGGTTGTGTCCCTGGATTTGTCAAGTTCAAAGGCTCTGAGGGAGCACAGCTCCAGGGCTGAGCTCTGTAGTTCCCTCTCCCTCTCTCTTCCCCCATGCTGCCAGAACTCAGATTGCACCTGGGCTACCTGGGGGGGGGGGGGGGGGCATCGTTCTACCGTATTTGCTTTTTTCTCCCACAAAGTGAAGTAAGCTCAGGCCTAGGAATTGCCCTCCACCTAAATGCGCTGCTAGATGCTCAGCCACTCTTACCCCTTTTCTCATGGCTGGTGGCCCATTCTGGTGAGAGGTGTGCTTGCAGTGGCAGAGGAAGGACTAAGACTCAAATCTGGAAGTAGACATAATTAAAACAGGTTGTTTCTTCCAGCATGGATTCTAGGCATCAGGCGGACCTCCATCTAGGCCACGATGTCCCCACAAGGCTCAACCTGGCCCGTGAGAGTTTTGCAATGGAATTTTGATCAAAGGCCCAGCAAGTTATAAAGTATTGTTTTGCCTTATTATATATAATAACATGTGTATCATAAAAATATATAACATAGAATAGTACATGTAATATCTACTACATATTTAATAATAGAACATATTTATTGCTAAACAGGATATTCAACGTTACTGTTTGCTTTTTTGCAACATCTATACCTATTACCCTCTCACAGAAATCACAGGATGGGGTAGTTTTCAACGGCACAATTTGGGTATTCTTTTGCCCAGGATAAATCACACTCTGCATCCTAATATCTGGGAAAATCCATAGCACCCCATTTACAACTTTCTTACAAGCCAAGTTTCTTTCCACAGACTTCCTTCAACCTGAGGGTACAAACCATTGAATTACCCTCCTTCTAATCCTCTCAAAGGGCAGGCCACATCCAATCAAAGCATGTCTGCCTCTGAATACCAAAGCCAGCCATCAGCCTATAGGGGTTCAATGTCAGGCCATGGCCTATCCCGGAGAGTCTGAGCTGGGTCTCAGCTACAAGGTCTTCATTCTATAAGACAGCAAATCTTAAGAAACTAAAAATTTCATAAGGAACCAAATCAGTACTTTATCATTGACACTGACACAACATGCAACTCTAATATCACCATAGGCTCTTAAAATGATCATGTCTTGCCTCTGTCATGTAGGATCCCAAGGTCCTAAAGGTATTTCTTCTAGAAGGGAGTTTAGGAATGTAATTCAGTGATACTTTAACTTTCTTGAGAATTTCATGAAAGCACAGTCCCTCTCCCCAGGGTACTACACATACAGAGAATACCTGGTATGTAGTGGAAGGGATCAAAGAGCCCAAAAGCACATCCCTGGGCCCTGGTGGAGAGTGCCTGTTTCAGGTCAGCTTTAAGCAGACACAGGGCTTCATGCAAGCCCACCGATGCTGTGCACTGCACGTTGTTTTAACTCGATGGCACTCGTGATTTATTGTTGGTGCAATGAGCCCAACAATGTAGGGAACCTCTCTACATTTCATTATTTTTGGAATCTAATGGCCTCTTTTTTCAGTCAGCTGCCCTGCATTAAGCAATCACATGGGCTTATGAAACCCGAAGAAGTGGTTTGTACCTGCAAAGAAACGGTGAAATTTGTGAAGTGTGAGGTGGAAATTTCCCCTGTTGCAGCTCTGTGTGGACCAGGGTCAGGTCACCTCCCCATTCTTCTTCCAGCACGAGTGAGCAGCCTCCACTGCCACTGCCCTCTGCACACACACCACTTGGTTTGGTGGCACCTTCAAACTGTGACTACTCACCAACTTCTGATATCCAAGTTTTTCTTGGCACTTTTGGCAGAGAGCCAAATGGAGCAGCCAAGCCCACCTGACTCTTTGAAACAGGAAGAATGAATCCCCCACCGCCCCCCTTTAGCAGACAACTACCCCTGCCCTTACCATTGGCACCCCACACATTCCTGGCAGTTGTGGGTAATGAAGTTTGCTCTCTCTTCTACTTGGTTGCAGAGTCTCCCCAAAAACAGCTTTGTGGGATGCCTGAGGAACTTGCAGTTGAATTTGAAACCACTGGATACCCCTTCTGCAAGCTTTGGGGTGTCTCCCTGCTTGGGTGGCTCTTTGGAGAAAGGCATTTATTTCTCCCAAGAGGGAGGTCATGTCAAACTAGGTAAGGAGCAATTTGGAAGAGTTTCTTTCTTTGAGTCTTTTGAAGAGCTCCATCTTTCTCTTGAATTATGATGTTTTAACTGTTTATTTCTTTTTTTCTTTTGAAAGCCAACTCTGTGCTGCTGGGGCCAGAATTTAAGCTCATTTTCAGCATTCGCCCAAGAAGTCTCACTGGAATCCTAATACACATCGGCAGTCATTCCGGGAGGCACTTATGTGTTTACATGGAGGCAGGAAAGGTGCGCAGCAGTCTGATGACGTGGGAAGGGCATATGAATTTATATTAGAACCGGATTCCATTTTTGGAGACCATAGTAGGTGAAGTGATGGTAGAGAGTAGAATCCAGTCTTCTATTTAAAAGACCTGACTTCAAGGCTGACTTACCTTTTTCTTCAGCAAGTAATTTGATCATCAATGTTCTCTATTCTTCACCTTTCAAACAAGCTGTGCTGAATTCCAGCTGCACCACTTACTTATATGGCTCTAAGAAAGTTACTTAACCTCTTTCAGACTCAATTTCTTTATCTTTAGACTGTAGATAATAATGCTTATATCTTAGGGCTTTTGTCAAGAGAATAGAAACTGTCACATACCCAGCCGATGTTCATTTTTCTCTCCTCCCCTTCATCCTTGTCACATCTCTACTTTTATGCATAAAGGCAGTGCTGGAAGTCACGGGATACATTTTCTTACCAGCCGTCTCTACCATGTCACCTCCATACCAATGGCCCTGAGTCCACGGCCTCAGTTTCAGATTTCCCTCATCCTCTCTACACAATCTCCAGCCTTTCTGGTCCCAGTAGCCAAGCCGGCCACTGGGTCTTCTCACAGGCTTCTCTTGGCTTTTCATGGGTTCCTTCTTCAGTGCATGCTTCTGCTGCTCCATTCTGCCCACTACTCACAGGCTTAGTCAGTACCTTATTTTCATGACCCAGTTATATCACTTTCGTTTTCAAAAAAATCTCTTTAAAACCACATTTTTCCAGGAGACTGAGTTAAGGCCCGAAGGCCAAAACTGATAATGTGCCATTTTCTTTCACCTCCATCTTTCCACAGTTTATTAAAAGCGAGGGGGAAAACTCGAAGGAGAAAATGAAATAGTCCAAACTCCTAGAACACTTTTTATTTAAGTTGCAGCCTTAATGTCTGAGCAGGTCTCTGGAAGTTCCAAGGAGCCGGCAACTATCTGCTTGTTGAAGGCTGAGGCAAGGCTGGTTTTTCAGGGCAGGGGTTGGGGAGAGTCTCCAATGAGAGCTTCTGGATAGGAAATAACCACAAAGTGAAACCGAGACATGATGACCTGAATAACAGCGGTCACATTGTTTAGCTTGAAAATTGCCTGAGAATAGGCTGCACTCTCTAGCTACATGCAAATTAAATGTAAATTATTTATCAACACACTTATTTTAGTCCTCTCATTCCATTGACCTTGATTCTGTCCTTGGAGAATCCCGGCCCAAAGAGCAGAAATGCGGGATTCTACACAGTAGCACGCTGAGTGCCTGACCCCTGATACATGCACAGTACAAACGCAATAGGCTAGCTTGTTGATTTCTTGGGATGAGAACCCTCTCTATAAGTCATGCATTCATGGAGTTATTAAAATTGGCTGGCCCTTGCAACAGGATGTAAGCCTCAGCAAGCATTTTTGCCTTCAAAATTTTACATGTCCTTCTAAACAGAGCCACTGTCACATATGAACAGCTAAGAAATATCTTTGATGCTAATCAGTAACCTTTGAGTAGGACCTGATGGGTGAGGGGTCAGGACACTGAGGAGAAGGGCTTATTGACTTTGGCCGAACTTCAGGCAGGTCTCTAGGTTTGCAGCTTGCTTTCCTGGAAGAGATACAGCACAGATTCTTGCAAAGCCGTGGACTCCATGTGACCACTTGGTGTGGGAGAGGGGAACCTATATCTAAAGTGCTCCTGAGCCATCAGGGAAGAAAGGTTGGGAAGGGAAGATGGCAGGGGAAACTGGCTCCACCTGCCTTTCTGAAGGAAATAGGAAAATGCATATGTGTTTCAGGTCATGGCCTCTGTGGACAGTGAAGCAGGTGGGATCTTGACATCAGTCACACCAAAGCGGTCTCTGTGTGATGGACAGTGGCACTCCGTGGCAGGTATGACGTCCAGCAGCCTATTGTTAACACACTGAAATAGTCCCCCTTTCCATCTGGACTTGAATGTCCCACATGCAGCCTCCATTCATTTATCCATTAATGTCTGACCAGGGTCAGCCCACCAGGTTGACACAGTGAGAACATGTTCATTCTGACCCCCAACACATTTATGTAACTCATGGCTGCTGCCTCGAGCTCTCTATAACATACTGAGATTTGTGTTTGTTTGTTTTTTTTTAATCCCAGGAAACTGATAAACTGTGCTTATTTTCAAGGTAGTATAACATTGTGATTTAGATTTTGGCTCTCAAGTCAAAGAGGTCAAATCTCAGTCCCAGCCCTTACCTGTGTGACCTTGGGCAAGCTACTTAATTGCTCTTCACCCTCAGGTTCTTCATCTGCACAATGGAGATAAAAAGAGTGTACACCTCCCAGGGTGGTGGAGATTAAGTGGGATAATGCACTTAAAGGGTTTAACAGTGTTCAATCCATAGTAAGTGCTTGGTTAGTATTTGTTCTTGCTAATTGTTAAAGTTCATTGTTAGGTTATTTTTTCAACAACATTTACTATTAATGCAAATGATTTAGACAAACCACTGAGTAGAGAACAGGTACAATCTCTCAAATTGAATCTGCTATTTTATGAATAACTTGTGGACATTAGTTTGGAGATATATTTACTTGTATTGACTGAAATACCTTTTGTAAAAAAAAAGTAGTCTTTTCTTGGCTAATTTGAAAGCTAACTACACTGCAATTAGTTAAAATTGTTAACATGGAAGGAATTTTTATTTCAAAAGCAACTGTCCCTGGAGTCAGGTTTCAGGAGTCAAAGTCTTCAAGTTGAGATCACATAACATAAGCATGGCTCCTGGAGACAGGAGACCAGGGCTTGAATCCCAACTCATTTAACTTATAATCAAGCCATCTTGTCAAGCTCCTCAATGATTGAGAGTCACAGCCCCTTATCTGGCAGATAGGAATGATAATATCTTTCTCACAGATTCATTTCAAGGATTAAAGTCTGTAATATATGTGGAAGCACCTAAACACCACCTGGTGTGGAGAGATAAGTTGAATTGATGTCTAAATTGACCGAATTCCTGTGAACAGTGTTCCCACGGGTCCTACAGGAAAGAGTTAAAAAGAAATCAGTGGTGACACACTAGTGTAAACATGAAACAGTGGGCCGGGCTCTCCTCAGGTAATACCTGACCGGCTTCCTTTCCCTCCAGTCACCATCAAACAACACATCCTGCACCTGGAACTGGACACAGATAATAGCTACACAGCTGGACGACTCCCCTTCCCATCTGTCAGCACTCAGGAGCCACTACACATTGGAGGTGTTCCAGGTAACTCCTGTCCTGACTGCTACACCCATATTGCCCCATGTCATTTCTCGACATTGCCACCTTCACCCAACAAATGCTGTGCCCCAGCCCATGGGTTATCAGCAGGGCAGCTGTTGGATATCCAGGGGAAATGATGAGGCCCTTTTCTCTACCCCCTGGGAAAACCTAACTGCCAGCAGTGGGCACATTTCTCAGCAGACCAGGCCATGTTACTGCGGCTTCCGCTTGTCTCAAGCCTATAATTTATAAGCCTCTCTTAAGGGTCTGAATTAACCTGGAAGCTGATATCAGCAAAGAATCAGGAAAGGGGCTGAGAAATTGGTCTCTCCTCTCTAGGCATTAAGTTTTACTGGTGAGTTATTAAGCTTTGTGGGGCCAGATGGGAGAATCAGTAGGTTGAGATGGAGTCAGGTTCAAGACTGGAATTTTGCCTGGGAAGAGTCTTATCATTCTTCATTGTTTTATGTCCCTCCAAATAGCTTGGTCTTTAATTTTATAGGTCTTCCATAACCATAAAAAGCTCTAGTGTTCAGAGTTATTATCTATTGATTTGGGCTGTGGAATCTCCTTCTTTGAAGAATTTGAAGAGTAGCCTTGTGCTGATTTATCACAGCAGGTGGGATGTTGGGTGTTAAAGGGAGGAAATGACCCGGTCAGGTGGTCTGAGGCCCTGGGTTCCTTTAGTTCGAATCCAAATATTTTTTAAATTGGGTGGATTCATGTGATAGTATGAATTGTCCATTGAATGCCTCTCCTTTTCTCTTTCAGCCAACTTGAAGATCCTGAAGCTCCCTGTATGGAAATCATTTTTTGGCTGTCTGAAGAATATTGAAGTCAACCACATTCCTCTCCCTGTCACTGAAGCAGTGGAAGTCCAGGGGACTGTCAGTCTGAATGGCTGTCCTGACCACTAACTCAAACCTACTACACAGTGAGGAAATTTACCTTCAAAACACTGATCACCAGCACACCTTCCTCTCCCCACTCAAGGTCATTCTTCACTTAAGACACCATGCAGATGGGTTTACTAGCAAATCCAATTTGAACTTTGACCACTCATACCCATCCTTTTGGCATTCAGTGCTACATATGTATTTTCTATACAAATTTCATTTCTTGAAGATGATGAACAAATTGTTGTATGCTTTTGGTAATATTTTCCACTAAAAAAAATGAAATGTCTTTTAAAGATTATTTTCCACTTGTTTAAAAAAATAAATATCTTTTAAAGCACTTTAAAAATACAAAAATTTTACATGTGTTAAGGGGTTATAATTTATGGGGTTAAATAAATGCAGTGTACTCTTTAAATTATGATGTTTTATTAGCATAAAACCAATGGCTTGATGGTCATTGTTGATTGTATTAATTCTTCAGCACATGTTCAGTGTGCTGCCTACAACACAATTTTCTACAAATAATTATAGAGCACATACTGGTGAGGTACTCTGGTGTGTTCAGTGTTGGGTCTACAGTCAGGTATAAGAAGTAATTCCTGCCCTGAAGGAATATGGACTCCAACTGGGGAGACACATAATACTCATAAAGTAGTAAATAAACTGAATTAAAAAACCTATAATTCCACTTCCTTCCCACATACAGTCTACCACTGACCAAGTCTAGATTATGATCATCAGTTCCTTAAGAACAAAAACTATCTAGTAGGGAAGCTGAAAATGGATATATGTGCTATAATTAAAGCTTTTCATGGCAAGCTAACAGTAGTCAAATGGAAAAGAGGAATTGCTTTTTGTTTTATCAATAAAATAAGGAACTATGTACTAGACCAATATTATTACCCAGCACCACTCCGCCTAACAAAGCAGACTATGCAAGCATTTTTGTATCTTCTACATAGCATTTGTTCATCAGGAGGAAAATAGCAAATAATTCTGAAATTTGGTATCGTAATCCTGTATGCTTTCTTAAAGCTATGTGCCCTCCACTTCTGAAACTGAGCCATGTTCCCTTCAAAGCAGTGCTCTTTTATGACACTCACACTGCAGTCCTGTGGGCACGCTTTCTAACAACCATATCTATACAAACAC